AATCCAGTTCGGGTTTGCAGAATTTTTCGAATCGAAACCGCAGTTTCTGTTTTGGGGGATCCCCTAACTTTCGATCGATAAGTCTTCGGTCTCTGACCGATATTCTCGTTATGCTATTGTTAGACCTTTTCTTCTTGTGGTTACCGTATTCAAAAATTTCATTGAGTAATTTTGTTAAATTTTTTATGAATCGTAAAATATCTGATATTTCATCCGAAATTTCCGTATATTTTTTATTTTTCATGGAAATACCGTTTTCATTTCGACAAGCGTGATTGCGGTTTCCAATCTGCGCGATACTCGGATATTACTTATAACGGTGGTACGGTAAGAAAACTGAAAAGTGTTTTTGGACACGGAGTGGACCTATGTATGGATCGTTTTGTTATTATATATATATATTGAAATTTTGGAATTTTTCCTCATATCGTTATAAAAAATCGCTTTTCTCTTCAATTACCCGACTAATTACTGTGAAATTTTCAGCGATTAAAACTTGTATTTACTCTCAAATCTACTAATTTTATTCAAGCGCTCCGTGTCCATATACCAGATCATGGCTCTCTTGCATATTTATTACTGAACCAATTGCTTTAAAATTTAATTTATTAAAAATATTTTCGTTTTATTGTGTGTGCGATGACGTTGTTGGTATTTCCTACTTACTTCTCTCTTAAACTACTGTATCGATTGTTTTGAAATTTTCAGTGCTTCAAGTTTGCATTTTTCTTTAGAAGGCTTTCACTTTTGTCTCCGAATAATTTAATATTTGGTTGTCAAAATTATTATGTTTAAAGAAAATCACGCTTGTTTTTACTTTTATTGCTATCGTACCTCATTTAAAATTCAACTTTAGGTGAGGTGGTCTAAGACCTTCAGCGGAAGGTGACAGTTAATTGCCAGGACTCGAAATAGACAGATTTTCGTCTTGAAAAACCAACGTTTTCTGGTTCCCATGCGCAAAAATCCAAAACACAAGGATTGTAGTAAACTGCTTGTCTGCGGAATTCTGGTTTGGGTCAGAGAAAACGTTACAGAAATACATTTGTGCTGGTGTGCAGCAGCACTCTTGAATTGTATAGTATGGTATTTTTATTCCTGCTTAAGTCAGCATCCTTGCATCATATGCATATGAATCCACTAGCGCAAAGGCATTGAAAAAGAATAAGTAGTTAGCCTCGCGTAACCTCTACTTATAATTTCATAAAATAAATTAATTTTTGAATCACTAATAGATAACTTCAATTTTTTTCATCCGGGTCCGCAAAATTTGAAAATAGTCGGAAAAATTATCTCATCAAAATTTTCAATTATGAAAAATTTGCCAATAATTGAACCTCAAACGTTCAAAAACTTCAATGGTGTCACTACAATTTTTTTGTTGGAATAAGTTGTTTCATTAGTCAGTATCCAATGGTGTTTTCAAATTTTTACCTCCGAGACCGGAAAGATTCAAAATAAATCGATTTTTCGAGTGAAAAGTTCAGTTTTAGCGAAATTGACCACTTTCGAACCTCAAAAAGTGTAAAAACTCGTCGAATGTCACTACAATTTTTTTTGTTGAAATAAATTCGTTTATTAGTCCTCTATCCAATGGTGTTTTCAAACTTTTGCCCCCAAGACCGGAAAGATTCGAAATAATTAGATTTTTCATGAAAAAGTTCAAGTTTTGTGTATTTGAACATTTTCGAACCGCAAAAAGTTCAAAAACTCATGGGATGTCACCACAATTTTTTTGTTGGAATATGTTCCTATGTTCGTCCTCTATCCAATGGTATATTCAAATCTTTGCCCCCGAGACCGGAAAGATTCGAAATAATTCGATATTTTGTGAAAAAGTAAAATTTTTTTATACTTGAACATTTTCGAACCTCAAAAAGTTCGAAAACTCGTCGGATGTCACCACAATTTTTTTGTTGGAATATATATTAATGTTTAGTCCTCTATCCAATCGTAAAGTCAAATCTTTGCCCCCAAGACCGGAAAGATTTGAAATAATTCGATATTTTGTAAAAAAGTAAAAAATTTTTATACTTGAACATTTTCGAACCTCAAAAAGTTCGAAAACTCGTCAGATGTCACCACAATTATTTTGTTGGAATATATTTTTATGTTAGTCTTCTATCTAATGGTAAATTCGAATCATTGCCCCCAAGACCGGAAAGATTCGAAATAATTCGATATTTTGTGAAAAAGTTAAATTTTTTCATACTTGAACATTTTCGAACCTCAAAAAGTTCGAAAACTCGTCAGGTGTCACCACAATTTTTTTGTTGGAATATGTTCCTATGTTAGTCTTCTATCCAATGGTATATTCAAATCTTTGCCCCCGAGACCGGAAAGATTTGAAATAATTCGATTTTTTATGAAAAAGTTCAATTTTTGTGTATTTGAACAGTTTCGAACCTCAAAGAGTTCGAAAACTCGTCTGGTGTCACCACAATTTTTTTGTTGGAATATGTTTCTATATTAGTCTTATATCCAATGGTATATTCAAATCTTTGCCCCCGAGACCGGAAAGATTCGAAATAATTCGATTTTTTATGAAAAAGTTCAATTTTTGTGTATTTGAACAGTTTCGAACCTCAAAAAGTTCGAAAACTCGTCAGGTGTCACCACAATTTTTTTGTTGGAATATGTTCCTATGTTAGTCTTCTATCCAATGGTATATTCAAATCTTTGGCCTCGAGACCGGAAAGATTTGAAATAATTTGATTTTTTATGAAAAAGTTCAATTTTTGTGTATTTGAACAGTTTCGAACCTCAAAAAGTTCGAAAACTCGTCGGGTGTCACCACAATTTTTTTGTTGGAATATGTTCCTATTTTAGTCTTCTATCCAATGGTATATTCAAATCTTTGCCCCCAAGACCGGAAAGATTCGAAATAATTCGATATTTTGTGAAAAAGTAAAATTTTTTATACTTGAACATTTTCGAACCTCAAAAAGTTCGAAAACTCGTCAGACGTCACCACAATTTTTTTGTTGGAATATATTTTTTTGTTAGTCCTCTATCGAATGGTAAATTCGAATCATTGCCCCAAAGACCGGAAAGATTCGAAATAATTCGATATTTTGTAAAAAGTTCAATTTTTTTATAATTGAACATTTTCGAACCTCAAAAAGTTCGAAAACTCGTCGGATGTCACCACAATTTTTTTGTTGGAATATGTTCCTATATTAGTCTTCTATCCAATGGTATATTCAAATCTTTGCCCCCAAGACCGGAAAGATTCGAAATAATTCGATTTTTTATGAAAAAGTTCAATTTTTGTGTATTTGAACAGTTTCGAACCTCAAAAAGTTCGAAAACTCGTCGGGTGTCACCACAATTTTTTTGTTGGAATATGTTCCTATGTCAGTCTTCTATCCAATGGTATATTCAAATCTTTGCCCCCAAGACCGGAAAGATTCGAAATAATTCGATATTTTGTGAAAAAGTTCAATTTTTTCATACTTGAACATTTTCGAACCTCAAAAAGTTCGAAAACTCGTCGGATGTCACCACAATTTTTTTGTTGGAATATGTTCCTATATTAGTCTTCTATCCAATGGTATATTCAAATCTTTGCCCCCGAGACCGGAAAGATTCGAAATAATTCGATATTTTGTGGAAAAGTTAAATTTTTTCAGACTTGAACATTTTCGAACCTCAAAAAGTTCGAAAACTCGTCAGATGTCACCACAATTTTTTTGTTGGAATATGTTCCTATATTAGTCTTCTATCCAATGGTATATTCAAATCTTTGCCCCCGAGACCGGAAAGATTCGAAATAATTCGATTTTTTATGAAAAAGTTCAATTTTTGTGTATTTGAACAGTTTCGAACCTCAAAAAGTTCGAAAACTCGTCAGGTGTCACCACAATTTTTTTGTTGGAATATGTTCCTATGTTAGTCTTCTATCCAATGGTATATTCAAATCTTTGCCCCCGAGACCGGAAAGTTTCAAAATAATTCGATATTTCATGAAAAAGTTCAATTTTTGTGCAATTGAACATTTTCGAACCTCAAAAAGTCCGAAAACTCGTCGGATGTCACCACAATTTTTTTGTTGGAATATGTTCTTATGTTAGTCCCCTATCCAATGGTATATTCAAATCTTTGCCCTCGAGACCGGAAAGATTTAAAATAATTCGATTTTTTATGAAAAAATTCAATTTTCGCATACTTGAAAGATTTTCGAACCTCAAAAAGTTCGATAATCACTCCAATTTTTTTGTCGGAATATGTTCTTATGTTAATCCTCTACCCAATGGTATATTCAAATCTTTCCCTCCGAGACCGGAAAGATTTGAAATAATTCTATTTTTAATGAAAAAATTCAATTTTCACATAATTGAACTTTTTTTCCAAATATTGAATATTTCCATATCATGTCATTATAATAAGTTGCAGTAATATTCCCAAATCAACATCTGAATATAAATCCTCCGATAGCGTGATGTCCCAAAGTATTAGTTTTCGTAGAAAGTCAGAAAGTACATTTTGTTAGACCAGGAAACACTTTAATATGAAATTCGGGAATATGAGTTTGATATTTGGCTGGTATTTGGCTGGCATGACAGTGGTCTTTACTGACTACTCGCGGATAGTGATAGGTGTTCATTTTAATTACAGTTACCAGATATCACGACAATTTCGAAAATCACAGTGACATTAAAACGATAGAAAAGTATAAATGATTCAAATTATATATATATATATATAAATATACAATTATATGATTTGTTCTGTTCTATAAAGTGTTGCCTTTTCAATTTGCCGAAACCTGTATTGATTGTCGTAATGATACTTTATTGGTTTATTGCTTACCTAGTTCGTATTCGATTCAACACAATATGCAATGCTAAATTTAAAAAATCATTGTAATTAGGAAAATAAAGTAATAAACTTTTTTCCCTCAAATATTCACAATTAACTTTTTTGAGTTTGCTTAGTCGGATTTCCATACAGCGTTGTCAAATATGGCAACTATGAGTTCACCAGCACGGATGGTCCTTTCTGCTCTGCTGTGCCGATCGATAGGTACGTTTGCGTTTTTATCGTCGCTGTCTTGTCATAAAGGCTATTTTCGTATAAATTTGTTGGTGTATTCACAACAAAAGGGTGCTAAATTAACATATTTGTCATGGTGTTAGGGTAGAAATGAGTTTAAAGTATTATTGGACAATACACGTTACTGATACACATTCTTACCCAATTACGATAATCCAAATTAGTCTCGCTGTATTCATTTTCGATCTAGCTATTGTTGTTTATTTATACGATATAGATTACTATTTCACTGATTGATATCTAAAACTGTGATAAGTAGTTTGTACTGCAGTTATTCAGCTGCTTAAGTTTACCTGCTACTCATGTTTACAATCCTGTTTTTGCCTTTTATAAATGAGGAAATACGAATTGGCAATATCAGAATCTAGACATATAACAGTATAAACTTATAAATTGGAGAGCCAATACAAACTTGGCATTAACGCAGCAACAATGTGAATCACATGATTAGCTAGGCTTTGTACAGTATTTTATTGATTCACAAAACCAATGCTGTGAACTTACCATAATTTTAGAATATAAACAAAAAGTAAATTATATATATATTTTTTATTTTGATTTATAATTGGAAGGTTTATTAATAGCATGACATTGCTCTATTTGAATATCTCATTTTTTTTTGTTTTTCCAAGTTTTAATTTGATTTTTCTGAACCAAGTTTTAAGTTTCATCTCTGGTGTTAGACTTTCGACCATATTGTAGATGAAATTATTATAAGCTACGAATAAGAGTGTATATTATAAATTGGTTCTTCAATCATAATTGATTCACTTTTGTGAGATGCATTCTAATCCTTATTGAACAAATTCTTATGCAATGCTTAATTGATTCATTTCGACAGTATTTTTTCACAAATTTAACACTTTGAGCATGTGTTAATTTCAATGTTATTTATTATATTTTAGAGCCATGGCAGTCATTCATGATATGGTATTTGGCCTCACCAAAGGCCACAAAGTTACCAAGTTTACCCAGAAGCCTAAACATGCAAGACGAAGAGGAGTAAGTTCAATTATATTTTTGGTTTTTATTTGTATGTCTATTTATCTCTATTGATCTATTTTCTAATGATGTCACTTCTGCACCTTAGACCCTGTCCAAGAAAACCAAGTTTGTACGTGATCTTGTGAGAGAAGTCTGTGGTTTTGCTCCTTACGAAAGAAGATGCATGGAATTGCTGAGAATTGGTAAAGACAAAAGAGCGCTGAGATTTTGTAAAAAGAGGGTAAATATATACTGAATTGCATTAAATTTACTCGATTGGGAGTGTATGAAGACTGTTTCGAATGCCTATGATATTGTGTATCATATCTTATACATCTCAGTAATGAAGCATTAAAAATCCCAACTCAATGTTGATTGGCTGATATTTGTACCACAGCTGATTTAGGCTTGAATGATATGCAAACATATATTGTCATACTGAAATCTTTAGCACTCTGTTAATTCAATCTTTAATAGATCTTAGGCTAGTGTTAGCGCAAGTCGCCCTTCCACTTATTTACAGTCCTAGTAGTTAGTATAATGTGCACATGAATTACTAAAATACAAAGAAAAATTTCTCTCTGATTGGGGAAATGTTGATGTAGCTTGTGAATGTGTCTTTTTAAATTGGTTTATAATCTATTTTTATTTAGCTTGGCTCTCATGTCCGTGCAAAAAGAAAGCGTGAAGAAATGCAAGCAGCAATCCAAGCCCAAAGAAAGGCAGCTGCAGCATCTGCTCAAAAATAAACCTGGTTAAATTAAACATGGAACATACAAAATCTGTTGATTTATTTGTCAGCTCAGGCTAGAAATCTAGTTGCATCACCAGGTAATAGGTACGTAGTTTTAATCCCACATGTGTCGTAGGGATACAGACATTCATACTATATCATTCATTTTGGGGTTCATAAGAGTAAGATAGTATTTATGCTCTTTGCAGAATTAGTGATGCGGCGCTCACTTTTATCACAATTGATATCGGAGCACAAGAGGTTGGTGACGTCCTACTTAATGTGTGATTATAGAGCAATTTCACCTAATGTTTTGGGGAAGTAGTGCAAAAATCAGATGTATGGCGACGGTCCTACTTATTATAATATAAGCCTGATTATAGAGCAATTTCACCTAATGTTTTGGGGAAGCGGTGCAAAAATCAGATGTATGACAAGTACACAAATGGCTATCCTTAATCATTTACCCCTCCGGTCGGATCATTTGTAGATGGGAGAATTAAGTATAGTTAAAAACTTAAGACTGTTCTTTTGCCATGTATTAGAAAAATAGCATGAAAATTTTACAAATCAGAGAGTTGTCAAATTGAGTATTTATTTGTAGGCCAGAGTGGTAGAGGTCTATATAAAGATGTTCATGATGACCCAGTCCGAGCATATCGTCCACGCTTTGATTGAATACATTTTACAATAACTTTTTTATCGTAATCGAAGACGGACTTGTGTGACGTGGCAATAAATAGATTTAAATTAGGGCTTATAAAACGTCTCAAATATTTTACAATTAGTATCGTATATTTCAACTTAGTCGAGATAGTTTGTGCGGCCACGGGCAAAAATTCGAAAGCAAACTGTGTCGGAATTAATTGTTTTCATACTCACTTTCGATAGTGACCGAACATAACAGGAAATTTTTACATTTCTGCAATTTACAGCGAAAAAAATAGTTCTCAACTATTATTTAGTATCGGGGATTTTACGTTATACCGTTGTCGTTGATGATAATATTGTTCAGTAGGCGGTTTTAATTTAGGAGCATAACAACTGACTTGAAAGATTTGAATCAGCGCCGACTAAAAAACAATTTTCAGTCCTAATTTTTTGTCATTAGCTGATGGAAATCGGGTTCACTCATTTAATTATGACAATGATTGCGTAATAACATTTGCGTTTTTCTGAATCAACGAATGGTGGAGCAAAATAAAATTTAAAGATCACGCTTGCACAACAATCAATTTTTGTGTAGAGGGATAATTGTGGCGGAATTTAGCTTAACTATGTTGGTGGACTAAATAACACATACGCTGACGATAAACAGAAGTTATAACAAAAGTGTGTGTGTTGTTATTAACTTTGATTTTTCTGTAGAATTTAAAACATTTCACTAGACGAATAGTTGCACTTTTTTCTGTGAATACCAAGATACACCACCATTCACAGGTGTGAATACTGTATGTTTATCATGTCTTTTTTCTTAGAAGCAAGAAAACCACTAATTTCAACACATTCCATTTGTGCTGCTTTACAATGATATTATTATCAGAAAAGTGAATAAAATATGAGGGGAACTTTAGAATGTATTCGAAATAGCAAAGTATTTAGTTATGGCCATCCCTGGAGAGAGAGTGGTAACAGTTATATTGAATTATTATGAAAGTCTGAAGTGAGAGATCCATACATAACAGTGATGAACACTATCTAAAACATATATACACTTAGAAACATTCGATACAAAAAATATACTATAAATCATGAACTAAGTACTAGTGCAGTTCAATGGGACAAATTTGAATGAATGTGTCACAGTAACTGTTTCCATAAAGCTGCAAATGAAAAAAGGAGCACCTGATGCAGTATTATATGACATTAATCAAAAGTCATTACATCTGGCTCGTTCGCATCATGATGTTCATTGGGACTAGCAGTTTGAAAGTGCTGGGAATTCTTGAACTCCATGTAGAGGCTGAATAAAACATGAAGTGATTGCACTTTATTGCCTGGATATATGGGAATATCTAACACGGAGCATATCATGTCAATATATTTTTGTAAATCACAATCAAGATCTGCAGATGGTAGTCGAACCTTAGAAAGAAGAGCTTCAAATTCAGGAGGCCATTCCTGCATGAGTTGTTCAATATCTGGCATGCTTTTTGTGTAGTGTACATTTTGTGGAAGCTTTGTCCTACGTAAATCTTCTATACTTTCAATCCAGGATTCCACAGATTTGGGATTGGTTTGAGCATCTTTGAGACTACGAACTTGCATTGCCTTTATACCAGACATTTTTGAGATACTCCTCAACTGCAGATCAAGAACCGTAGGTCTGATTGCTTTGCACATGGTTCATCTAATACAGTGAGTCCAAGTAAACTGGATGAATTGTCAGGTTTTGATACTTTAATGAATGCATCAATGTCACCGACCGCGCAGGAATGTATTCAGGTATAAATGGTTTTAATTTGTGCTCAAGCTCAATAGTTTTGAGGTGTATATCGAGTATGTATTGGAACAATCTTTTATCTCCACGCTTACATTCAAACCTTCATAATCTGCAGGATCATAAGCACCTTCTAGGGCTGTTCCATTTTCCTTCATCACCAGAAGACGAGTCACTGTCCTTCTGAAGAATCTCCTTCGCTCATTGTGGATGTCCCAGAACCTTGCTTGAGCCTTGGGGCTTTCAGCAACATCACCAGGGAGACCATCAGTGGCACGTTATCTCCAAATTCATTCGATATTTGAATCATCATCATCTTGTGATGACATCTTATTATATTTTGGCTTCTCAGGTCCCGGTTGAAGAAGCGGTGTTGGAGTCTTTCTTGGGCTAGGGCTATATAAACTGGCAATTTCTTCAGAATCGTTCACATCCAAGCTTTCGTCGTAAGTCTGTTAACAACTAGTTAGTGTTTTCGTCATTTGAAAGCGCATGTACCATGTTACGAACAAATGGTTATCAAGTTAAATGAATCAAGACTGCTGAAAGTGTTTGTTCAGACAATAGTTTAAGGTATTGAGCAGTGCAGAAAACTTGTACTTTTGACTTTTAAATTTATTAGTGAATGCAATATAGAACACCAGGGTGTTACAAATTTCATTAAACACCAAATCGGACTATAGCCTTATATTTTAAAATAAAAAACCTGGGCAGTGAAATTCACGGTTTCATTAAGGCGTTTATGTACCAAAACATTCATCCCTTAATTTAGCTTGATACCTATTTCACTACAAACACATGAATTTACAAGGATTTTATTATCTGCATTCAATTTGACGACTTTGGTTAATATAAATTTAATAGAAACCCTGATTTTGATAAATGTAATACCATAGGTCTACAACTGGCAAAAGATTATTGTTTATCGCACTAAAATTATAATCAGCTACAACCCAGCAGCAATCACTTATCAACGGTCTCCCACGACCAGACGATTAAACGATCACCATAGCCTAATTACACTAAAAACTGACAAATAAAACTGCGAAATCGAGACTTCGATGTTCTGACGTTAAAGCCAGAGTCCGGGAAGTGATGAATTTTTAATTGTTACGTCACCATTGTTGCGTGATACACAAAAGAAATGGGTTGATCGCGAAACATTTACATTCATAAACCCTTTCCACTAACATTATTTTTGTCTTTTACTAGTTTCTGATTTTACAGATTCAAAGCATTTACAATATCTGTAGAGCGACAATAGCTTCGCAGTGGTGTCTTGGAGATGGACGAGATTAAGCAATGCGTATCACTACTTAAATGTAGCTGTTAAAAATATTTATACGCTCTAATGAACTCTCGTATTAACAATCTCTCAAAATCACACGTGTGCCCTTGTCACTTTGATACTGTGCAGGTTATGAATATGTTTGGGATAGGCCCGCTGTTATGTGTACGGCGGTACGTGGATTAATGTCTGATATGTTAGGTTTTCGTGATCGTTCATAGACCCCATTTAGAGTAATGGCGTTCGTTTGTAGGAACCAATCATTTAAAATTAGCTCTTTTACTGGAATGTTTTCAAATTTTAGAGCATCGTCGCTCACAGGCAGACAGGCTTAGTTGCGCCATCGCAAATGACCGAGTGATGAATGACGCAATTGCTGCGTAATTTCAGTGTTTGGATGAATCCATCGAAAAATATGAAACTCTTTAGATGCGAACCCTAAAATGAAAAAAACTTATAATTTGTTTAAATTGAATACAAGAACCTAATAAGCATGTATGGGTTTGGTTATTCAGATGATAGGCAGGGGTGGAGTGTGCGAGGTTTTTGAACCAGGGGTTAAAATTTACATTTTATTGAACAATATTTACAGTGATGCAAAAGTGGACAGCAATGAGCCCTGTTAGCTTGTGATGAAAGTAAATTTAATGGCAATCTTGACAAATTTCTTGATTTTTATTTTATCTAAAACATCAAAAATTTGGTTTTAGTTTAGTTTTGCAGTTGTGGCAGCATCAGGTGGGCCAGATTGAATTACTCATTGGGCCGGATTTGACTCGTGGGCCGTAGTTTGCCTATGTCAGTGTTAGAGCGATTCAAAAGTAGAATCACAGTCAGTCCCTGCTTTTTCCCTCTATCTGAGTCTGTGTGGCTTTCAAGATTGCCATGATAGATATTCCCCTACCCGACCAATTCTGATTACTGCGTCAGAAGCGGTGGTTTCCCATTTAAGAGATGTCATCTTAAGGATCAATATGAAAAATGCCCATATATAAATACCAATATAAGTGAAATATGCTGTTTTTATATAGGCACAAGCATTCAATAAAACATATGAACCCAGAACCTGAGAATTTTGCATATCCTTTATAGCAGGGGTGTCAAACTCGTGGGTTTTCGAAGGCATTGCATTTTGGGAATTGTGCCGCAAACAGTTTTTGATGTTGATTATGTATACTTTAAGCATACTTTTAGATAGGCCGAATATTTCCTAAATTTCAAATGCCATTTACATATTAATTTCTTGCATTTCACTATTATTGTAATTCACTGTAGGCTATTTTTTACAAAAAATTATAAATTTTTATATACAATTATCCAAAACATTTTTGAACAAATTTTACATAGATAATACAAAATAATACATAGACTGAAAATGATTTATCTTATTATTTAGACCTAAAATTTACAAAAATACAGAATAAACCAATGTTTATTATTACATATTTTCTGGCGTTTGGCATCTCATTCGGGCCACCAGCTTACTAATATAAAGCTGAAATGATATTACATTACCAACATAATTGGGTCAAATGATAACTAAAAAATTTGTAAAACTACTTTCTGTAAATTGTCGTTTTCTGTGTGAAAAATCAATTTCACTTTGAAATGTTTGAAAAATGTGTTATCATTCATTTAGATAAAAAAAAATTACCAAATATTACAATAATTGTTAAGTGTTCGAAGGTCGCAATGGAATCTCCCTGGGGTCGCATGCGGCCCGGGGCTGCGGGTTTGACACCCCTGCTTTACAGCATTTCAAGATCAAGATGTACATATTGAACATGAGCTATAAATTGTTTTAATAGGTGTGATTTTGTGATTAAATTCACAAAATAAATTGCATATTACAAAGTTTTGAATTTTAACTGCCTGGAAGGTTGTTGTAGTATATATCAAGTTATTCTGTTGAATTTTTTCGCTTTGAAACACACATACTGAAAAAACTTTTTTAGGAAATATTTTATCCCATTAACGCTCTTTAGCAGAGGATGGTGCAATGGCTAGAGTAGTTTAATGCAGTTCCGTTTGACCTTCCCTGGAAGTTGAAAAAACATTTTCTATCTAAAGAACATTTTTCAAAATGTATCTAAAAAAAATAAATTCAATTTGAAAGTGAACTTTCTTCAAAATTAAGCAAATAGTCAAGTCAATCAATCATTAATATGCTGCCATATGACAACACTGGAAAGTAATTGTATTTTGATTTCATGGCAGCGGTGTATTTTTATTGCTTTGTTAAAGTGAAATATTTACCAGGTTTCCTATAAATAGAATTCTATATTTAAAAAATTTAACTAGGAAAGTGAGGTATTGAATGTTCATTTTTAGAAATAAATTATGGACAATTCAATATTAAGCAAATTTTTTGGGAGCAAAGGTGCATCTGCAGATATTCCCGATGTAAAGTTTGATGCTGGCAGCTTACCTACACCACCAACTCCACCTGATAAAAATGACAATTCAGGACTCAAACCTGGAGATAAATGGTCAAGTTTTGATCCGACTGGCCTGGAGAGAGCAGCAAAAGCAGCCAGAGAGCTGGATGCATCTTGTATGAGTTTCATTTATGACATAAATTATAATTTATTAATACAGTAATATAACTAATCAGTATTTGTGTCAGCCCATATGAAATATTGTTCATTTGCCATTGCAGTGTTCTTAGTTGGATCAAGTGTTCTACTATTGTACTCTTCAGTCCAATTTGGTTTTTAATGATGAATTAAATTCCTTCGAAAATAAAATTAGGAATCATTACTTCACAAAAAATAGCATTAATCATGACATTGAAGCAATAATTGCTCTTCTATTTTGTACATTTGTTTTTGTCGTTTTATTTATTCAGTGTTCAGGACAGTTAATCCAAAGTTATAATATCCAAATGAGTTGTCATTTATGCATTTATGGCAACGATAATTCTTTTGTTCAGCTCATGCCAAAGATGCGTTGGAACTCTCGAAACATCAAGAACACACAAAACAAATTGAATTTCAAGCAAAAGTCAAGGTATTCAAATATTGTCATTTTATTTTTAAATATGGTTGACTCAAAGATGTAAATTTCTTATTGTCTTATTGTACAGTGATCAGGGATGGCCATTTCCGAATACTAAACTATTCCGAATACATTCTAAAATAATGTTTTCGAATCTGGAATTCCGAATACATTCTAAAATCGAAAATAACACATTTTTGTTTTAGTTGATTAAAACCCAGTAAATTAGGAAATAAGCTTCAATAGAAATATCAGAATGAAGCCACAAACCAACAGTATATGTACACAGTACTTGATAGAAGTAATTGATAGTTTATAGCTATAATAGCAACTTGTGACACAGTCAGTTTATTAAAAGTATTCACTTGGTACAAATGACCATATGAAAAGATAGCCAAGGAGTTGTCTGACGCTTTCTATCATTGGTACCATGATATTACGATAATAGTCAAGTCTATTGACAAAAATACTACTTGTATTCAGATAATTGTGTATATTTTCTGAGAGTAATAAAATTTATTGGCAATACAGGCAACAACAATCGAAAATCCATTATGCCTTTAAAGATTCTAATATTTAAGCCTAGAGTATTCTACTACTTACCAGTATATTTGTATATTAATTTATGTGAACCATATTGTTATTATGTGTAATATATTGTTGTGTTTGGAATTAGAAATAAATTAGTAGAGAATAGATGACCACCACTGCCAGCGCGCAGCCAGGATTTTCGAAATCGGAAATTCCCATTGCCGCCTGTAACACCCACCGCGATTCCGCGCTCGTTAAAAGAGCCGTCTTTTCAGCGTATAATGATCATTCTGTTACGTAAAATATTCAATTCATGACAACTACGAGATTCTAAAATATCTTTATATATTAATTTAATGTGTCCAACGTAACTCGCGGTTGCTTCTTCTTACGTCAAAAAAAGAAACATTACTATTCGGTCCACGGCGATCCGTGACCTAAAATTACGAGATAAACTGCCTGATGTATTTAATTTTAATACGTATTTTTGCAATTTTGCCAACTCGTTATCGCCGTTAGAAAAATCTCAAATAGTGATATAAAATCCTGTTAAGTGTAGAGTATAATTCATTTCATACAATGAATATACATATAAAGTTTAGCAGTAAATTAAAAATTCATATTCATCGCCGCGATTATGCCACCTGTTAAAAGAGTCGACTTTTACAACAAATAATATAACAACGAATATATATTTTTCTGTTGTGCAAAGTGATGAATTCGTGACCGACACGGGCATATTTATATTTAAAATGTCTTGCTTTATTAATTTAATTGTCTTCAATTTAACCTGCGGTTGCGTCGACAAAATAAAATCCTCACCACTCTAATATACCATTGCAATCCGCGGTCATAAAAATAAAAACGTGAGGTAAACTGTCCGATTAAATATTGTTTTGATACGTATTTTGCGAATTCAGCAAATATTTAGATGTACTTGTTAACAGTGACTCCGCTCGATCGAAATGCTGCCACTCGGATTTTTAGATAAAACCGTTCGAAAAATCCATAAATATGCTGTAATATCTCAAGAGTAAAAATTATTTCATCAAAATAAAATTGATTGAATATACTTTAGATTATTTATATTATATACATCCTCACAACACGGGAAAAAGTCGCGTTTCAAACCTTGTATCGTGTTAACACGAAAATATTTGACGGAAATTTAAAGTAATGGATAATCAGGCAAATCCCGCCCTCAATTAGTGACGATATGTTTCTAAACGCCGACCAAACATAATGTGTGCCAGAGGCACCGAAATTTTGCGATTTTCACTGCCTAGAAAAGCGTTTTTTAAACATTCGCGGGCCTCAATAAAACTTATATAGTTTACGGTTTTATTTTCAGTATTTCAAATTGCCGCTTTTCAATCAAAAAGTTGCGTTGTCTTTAGAAACTCGCCGCCGATGAACGTATTTACCAGATTCACAATTCCGTGCGTGTACAAAAATAAAAAAAAATGTTATCGTTATCGTGGAACAAATTTGTGGAAAATTTTCGTTTTAGAGAAAATAAAATACCACAATTGTAAAGGCGTTTACGGGCCTAAATAACACGTTACGCTGATGAGTGATGAAAACAATCACGCGCAAGTTTTTATCGAGAATGTTTTCATTTAACGGAAACGTCTTGAAAGCGGCGTCGAAAATGTGTGACGTCACACTAATATCCGATATTCTTATGAACGTGAATTCCGATATTCGAATGACGAGATATTCGAATACATTCGAATACTTTATTCGAATTGGCCATCCCTGACAGTGATCAAATATATCATTTTTTTCTAGGAATATGAAACACATGTTGAACAATTGAAAATTGAACAAATCAGACAACAATCTGAGGAAAAAAGAACTAACTTACAGCAAGATGCAAAATTAAAGAAAGAGGTCAGGTTTGAGTAGACTTGCATAATTTGTTGAGGAGCCTGGCTGTAAGCGTGTCAACTCTTTTTAATTTATGTAGATAATACCTTTAATATAATTAAAACAGATTAAATCATAAATCAATTTTAATATATTATACTATATTGAGTGAAATTAGTATATTGAAATACTTGGATTGTTTGCCTATCTCGATATGTTTTGATTATCAGGCTCGTGTTAAATCGTATGACATTCGGTCAAACTGTGTATTTGATTTAGATCTGTGTATACATTACTTTCATTTCATCTAAACAAATAAAATGTCCCTTAACAAGTTTATTACATGGTTAAATTTAAAATTTTCATAAACTTTTCATAACAACATGATCATAGAGCCTTGAGACCTTTTCTATTTTACTATTTGGGCCTCACCTAAAAACATTGCTGGCCTAACGGTTGAAGCGTTGGCCCCAATATTCACATAATAATTTTTGAACCTAAAAGAATAGTTGTTTTAATTATGTACAATGTACATGTTGGTTCGTGAGACTGCAACCTATTGAAATTCAGTATTATAGGTTTTAAATAATTTAGGACATTAATTTGTACGAAAACATGGTCAACACTGATGAACGCAAAAACCATGATGCATTTGTGAGAAAGTGTTTTCATATTACAAATGTAGCAGAAACTAATTAATGACCTAACTAAATCTGAGGTACTTCATATTTCACCAACAAAGGTCTTAACATAACACAATTTTTAGATAACTCCGATTTAACAGTATAAATGATACCTCGCTGATCGAAAGCTATACCTCGCTTCTGAAAGCCATTTTCAAGCCGCACTCGGTGAAAAATAGTCCGGGCACCTCTTCACTAGATAATCGAAGGCTTTTTCAACATTTAAATACTTCTGATTGTCACTCAGATCAAAAACAAATCGTCGTCGTCGAACTTCACGATACTTCCTCTATTTGTAACTCCGGTATTCCAGAAGCGAGTTGCGCAGCATGTGCACTGTCTAATTACCTAATTTTAGTAAGGCGTGTTTGTTTGATCAAATGTTTATATTGCCACACCTGAAAACTACAAACCCATTAAATGCCGATCGATTTGGCAACCTTGTTTAAATTTAAAAATGGTGTTCGAATCAGACGTATATTCCCAGATTACCTGGTTAACGCGTTACCGCGCGAAGATGAGTTTACTGATATAATTCTGCCACCAACATCGCGAGACAAAACAAAGAAATAGTTTTAGGCAATTTCTTTTTGCGGCTACTCATTTACGTTTTATTTCTAAGATATAACTCGGATGAATAAAGGCGGTGCAGATTACAACATAAGAATAATAATCCAATCTTATTCAAAAATACGTCGACACCCATTTTTATCAACTCAACTCAAGCCTGGTACAATAAACATGTAGAACACTGAAACCTAATTATTATCGAATTTCCGTTATTTCCTACTAAAAAATTACTGAATGCTATTATGCCCGCGAGCCTATTTACGCTGTACTAGATAATAGAAAATCCTATTACTTGTGGTTGTGGACACACTTTTGTTTACAACGCGGTGAAACTGATAAGCGCGGGAGACCGGAATTGATTAATTGAAGTATGGACCCCTTTTATGTGTGCCCTATTACACATCTAGAGATATTCAAATGAAAACAAGTAGTTCAAATGAATAAATAATCGAAATAAATAATTGAAATTAGTCGAAATACATTTTGAAATAAGCAACTCTGTTTCGGTACTTCCTAAACTCCTTGTCACTCAGTAGTTCGATTCTCAAAGTCCGTTTTTTAGAGTCTGGTTGAATGGGCTTGATCGGAGCACCGAACTGCTGAGGCCATTCAACCCGCCTATTCCTGGGTACATTGTGTTCGTAAATTCCTGGCCCTGGTGTTATCATTGGATCAAGTATAGGTTCTTTGAATCTCATAGCTGATGTTTCAAATGGTTTGTATGCAGCGGCGGGACATTTGAATTTCGTCCAGTCAGTTTGGTAAAAAGATGGGCTGGGAGTGACAAGTTCGTGCACTTTTCGGAATCTCGGATTTGTCCTCGCTCCACAAGAATATCCACGTGAACTACATATCCATTGGCCGAGGTTGTAGGTAAAACTACTGACCTCAGCGTTGTTGTAACATCCTGGGCCCCTGTGTGGCGCACCTCGCAATGGATAAATTTCGTTCCCTGTTCTATCCGGTGCGTGAACATGTGGGAATAATCCCCTGTTCAACGTTGTTCCGAACGATACCAACTTTTTTGCTGGATTTTCCTGTTGAGAAGAGCTAGCCTCTATATAAGCAGATAATCGTCGATCGGCAAACGAATACTTCTTGGAAAGTTCCAAGCCTGGTATATGCGGTTGCATTATATCGCTCTAGTTTTCGCCGATTTACCAGTGTAAAAAAATTGCATACCTATTCTAAAAATGAATTTATTTAATTTTTTCACGTTAAATATAAAGCACATAATTACGTCATAATGAGGCATGCGTCTTACGAAAAATGAACGCTTTGCTCGAGCATATGATAATTTCCCGCAAATTCAAAAGTAGTATGAATTACCTTATCATCGTAAACCTTTACAATCAACAGCAAGCTGAATACCAAGATCTTTTATCGCGAAGAAGATACGACGATCAGTTAAAGCAACAAGCTGCTAGAAATGAAGAAGATCTCAGAAGACAAGAACAATCGGTTGAAAAGCAGGAAGCCATGAGACGAGGTGCGACATCAAAAGTTTCATATTTAACGCAATCAAATGGGTCGATTATTGGGGCTAATTTGAACTTCTTTTGCGATTTGGTGCAACAATGCGGGATTTCTTCCCTTAGTATTTTACCTTTTTAATATTTGAATTCTTTCGTCTCGTAACAGCCACACTGGAACACGAAATGAAATTACGAAGGGATAATGAAATTGCGAGAGCGGAAGCGGAGGCACTTGCTAGAGCCAAAGCTGATCGAGAAAATCAAGATTTGAGATTCGAAGAAATCCGTCTGAAAGCTGCAGAACATAGGACAACAGTACTGGAGTCGATTAAGTAAGAAAATTAACAAACAGAATTTCCGCAAATCCTCTACGGAAAAATATCTAGCTTGCTCTATGTGCTGTTCCAGGCTATACAAAATTACATCGTCCTTCATTACTTCTACCTTTTAGAACGGCTGGAAGCGTGATGGGTGACGGCGCTAAAGCATTTTTAAACGACTGGGATAAAATCACCACAGCGGTAAGTTTAGTTATTCTGTCATCGAAATTTTGTTCTTGGTATTTGAATTTGTTCCAACAAGTGGCGTTCGGCTCGAAGTGGGAAATAAATGTGGTAGGTGGATTTAATCTTTTGAATTACACATTTTCTTTGCAGGCGTTTGGCATAACGTTGGCTGCGGTTGGCTTGTACACCGCTAAAAACGGCATCGGTGTCGCGGCTCGTTATATAGAGGCAAGATTGGGAAAACCGTCACTCGTAAGAGAAACAAGCAGATTGACTTTCCTAGAAGGGCTCAGACATCCAATCAAAACATCACGTCGATTTTTCAGCAAGCCCGAAGATTCTTTACGTGGCGTCGTTCTCAAGGTAAATAAACGTTTATGAATTTTACGTGAGAATGGTTTAGTTATTTCATTATTAACAAATTGTAAATTTCCCTGAATATTTCAAGATTAATAAATGAATATTTTTCTTTTTTTAGCCAACTCTAGAAGAGAACATACGTGATATCGCGATTTCAACCCGAAATACTAAAACGAATAGAGGCGTTTATAGAAATATTTTGTTACATGGACCACCCGGCACAGGGAAAACATTGTTTTCAAAGGTAATATTATTATATATATTATACTAATTATAGTAATGGTGTATACACCGATGAGCGATAGGCAATCAGTTTAAAGTTCAATACTACAGTATACGTATATCTGTTATTTATATTAATTATTTTACATTATTTGTGAATTGGTCGTTTCAAACAGAATTTAATATTACCTAATTTTGCTAATTGAATTTTATCAGCTTTATATTCTTCCGCGATACCTGACACATATGAGATATTTTAACATTCGTTCTCAACGAACAGTTAGATTTTGACATTGCTAAATTGTCGCCAGCGGCTCCCAAAAGGTGCGCCGCAACGAGTTGTCAAGTGCGCCGCGAAATTAAGGGGAATTGAGTTAAACATAACTAAAATATGGTTGAATATTTTATTTATTGTTTCTCATGTCTACCTCTTATTGTTACGCAATATTGGAGATAGACACTACTTGCTGCAATTTGTGACTTGTAGTTTAATCATCTGCTGAACCGCGAACATGAGTGATTATTTTAAGCATTTTAACGAAAAATCAGGCAGATATGGGAAAGAAGACTTTCTGCCTTTATTCCTAAGGACTACACGTTTACAGACTTCAAAATGCATAAAGCACACATTAACGATCCCAAAATTGAATTTTATTTAAAAGCAGCATTTTTTCCGTGCTAGTGCTCCGTGAGTTTTTTTCCCTGATGATTTTGCCACGCACTAACAAAAAGTTTGAAAATCGCTGCATTACGCCATAACCTACCTAACTTCAATTTTCGTCGCCAAAATATTCCGGTACAACGAATTATAAGTTAAAGTTCTGTATGTGTATACTAAACATACTTTGTACGTCCTTTGTTGCAGAAATTAGCTTTACATTCCGGTATGGATTTCGCTATTATGACTGGAGGTGACGTTGCACCAATGGGTCGTGATGGCGTTACAGCAGTTCATAAACTGTTTGATTGGGCCAACAGCAGTCGAAGGGGGTATGTAGTATTGGTAATATGTTTTGGATTTGATGTATTAACACTCCACACTGGTGCTGAAGCGTACCAGGTTACTCAACTTCTAGTTCTTGAACATTATACTTATATTAAATACATTAGTAATGTTCGAAAGTTGTTTTCTTTCAATCATGTTTTTTTTACCCACTGGGTTATTTAAACATCCGAGCATGGTCGATGAATGCAAGAATATCTTCATTTTTACTTGGCGCTAACTCTGGCTGAATTATTTATACTTATTTTTTTTTTAATTTTTGTGCAGGTTAATGTTATTCGTAGATGAAGCAGATGCCTTCTTACGAAAAAGGGCCACTGTAAGTTTTTTTTCTTCTTGAAATACTGTATAACATTTATCACGTGATGTCTAATCTTTAAAGGCGCCACGTTAAATCTTCATAACTTTTCTTTCTGTTTTTAATTAATAGTCTGGAGTTGTCCCAAATCATGTTTAAAGGTGCGCCATAAACTATTCAACCAGCTTGTATCGTTCGATATGTCAGATGTGTCTATTTGAGAACGAAGATTTCTCCACTTTGTCATATATGCGAGAGTAGATTTACTGATTTTTTGTATGGAATAAGCACTTTCGTTTCATAAAACTACTGTTTCAATACAATGCAAGTTTTATCCGTTTTTCATTATCTGTTTTCTTTTTCTAGGAAAAAATAAGCGAAGACCTTCGTGCAACATTGAACGCGTTCCTGTATCGTACGGGAGATCAATCCAGCAAGTAATGAAACATACTTATTGAAACTTCAAATTGGGTTTTTGATTTCCAGGATAACTTCATCCAACGATCGACCGTTGGTATACCCGCTCTAATTGTCACCGTATATTAATAGCTCCCGCGAAGAGTATTTTAATCCAGAGAACATCGATTTAAAAAAATAGCCAGTTAATTAAAAGAACTGCAACTGAATTTGTGTCCATGCCAGATAAAAAGTATTATATATTTTTAAGGTTCATGATGGTATTGGCCAGTAATCAACCTGAACAATTGGATTGGGCGATAAACGACAGAGTGGACGAAATAGTTGAATTTGATTTACCAGGTCTAGAAGAAAGAGAGAGATTAGTTCGACTTTATTTCGATAAATATGTTTTGGAACCTGCAATGGAAAAGAGACAGTAAGAAATGAATACTTTTATAAAATCTTGATCAAACTTTAGCTGATTCGTACCCGCTCAGATGTCCGAACTTACTAATTTGTCCGAATTGGCGAATTTTACAGCTTTGGTACAGGGCAGCACTCTTTATAATAGTAGGATAACCACGGAACGTATATATAGTATAGCCAATCTACGGAAATGTAGTAAGTCGCACAAAATTAGCGTTGAACCACGACGAATTATTCTAGAAGTACTGTGAGGACGCAAAATAATTGTCCTGTCACGAAGCTGTTTTGGTCGTGATACTTTGTATACTATTCTTATATAGATAAATACATATTTACGTATTTATTGCATTTTGAAAAAGGATGTTTGTTTTTATTTTCTAGGCGCCTCAAGTTGGGAGATTTCGACTTCAGTATAAAATGTTCCCAAATCGCGGAAAAAACCAAGGGACTTTCTGGAAGAGAAATTTCCAAATTAGCAGTGGCGTGGCAGGTAAGTCGACAACTAGGTAGAGTATCATGCAACAGAGGTGAAAAGATGCATTTCCATGTTTCTGTCGAGTTTTGCTACAATTGATGCACTTGATCGACTATACTTGCAAATATACTTTTTGACTTGAATTTGATAATATAGTAGATTAAGTAGAACATATTATTTTTGGTAGTATGTGTACCAGGTTAGGGTTAGGCCATAATAATATGATTTTCCCTATTTTAGTTATATTTCGAGTCGGGGACTGTCGTTGTTAGCCAAGTGGATATACCCCCTGCCCATAGGTTTCGGTCCCTTAACACAACTTGATTTGAAGTAGGCAACAAAATTAGTTACCTCCATATTGGTACACATACTTCTCGAGCGCCTTATTTTTCTATTTCACGTAGGCTACAGGTTACGCATCTTCGGATGGAACGTTAACAGAGCAGATGGTCGATGATCGCGTAGAAGAGGCTGTCAAACAGCATCAACTCAAGATGGAATGGATATCTCACGTTTCCCCTGGAATGGAGAAGGAATCCAGTCAAACGACATCAACGAAAAGCTCACATTACGCGGCTGCTCACTCTACCGACCCCGCCGTGGACACTTAACGATTTTGCGAGCTGACGTTTTCTGGATATAAGGCAATTCACCAAATCTGAGCTGAGATGGTACGGAGTTCTAGTAGACGCGTAATACGTCGTCTGCTCTAATGATTCATTTCAATCAATAGACTTGTGGTTGACATCCACATCACCAAATCGTCTGCGTGAAACTAATAATGTTTGAAATTGTGCATTTTCTTATGTAGGTAATTATTAAAAAATCTTATTCACTGCAATTGTACTGAAATCTGATATTTGGGATACAGGTTCGCGATGAAAATGCGTCCCGCGAACACATTCCGTGCGGCCCGCAGAATCATTTTTGAAACTATTTCAACTGTTAATAGCCCTTTTTCTAATCCCCATGTCGGGATTTATGTTTGTTTGAATCATGGAATTTCAATGTTGTATCTATAAACGTCGAGAAGGTACCGATATGGGAACGAGTGATCGGTACAAGGAGAATAAGCCGTCTTGTGCAGACTAAACCAGTCTGAGATGAGTCGCGCTTTTTATCTAAACTTTATACCTTAAGTTCACGTCTAGGAACTCCTCATTCGGAAAGACGCTTTGAGTCTTTATTGGGAACGTTAGTGGACATAGAGATCGTTTTGCAATATTGTTGTTCTTATTTGTATTCTTCTTGGTACCCTTATGAAAAAATCGCTTTTTGCATTGGTTATTGGACCATTTCCTTTGAAATTTTCATTGAGTAAAGATTATATTTTTTGCTAGAAGGCTATTACTTTGTTTATTTCTAAAGATCGTATGAAATCTGATATTTCGTTTAAAATTTCGCTGTATTATTTTATCCATGGGAACACTGGCTGTCCGGTTTAATTCTGTAAATTCTTGCTGCGCGAAACTCAGAGGGTACCGGTAGCGTCAAAGGAAAGGACTTCATCCGCTCTGGTTAACGTGTCCATATATTTGAGCATTGCTCTCTTGTTTTAGTAAAAACACTCCTCTATTTTCAAGCCTTGGCCGCGAGACAGCAGCGATGAACCACCGAGCTGACTTGGCGAAGTCCGAAGTCCCAACTTAGACGGACTTTGTTCTTTGACAGCACCAGGTCTTCTCGCGCTACAAGTAATAAAATGAGTCAAATATAACAATTCGTCATACAATGAGTCAGGCACGCAGCCAGGATTTTCGAAAGTGAGGAGGGTCCAAATCGGAAATTCATTTCTTTCCTAAAACAATCTCCGCGATTACGCGCTCGTTAAAAGAGTCTTTTTCAGCGTATAATCACTTTTCTGTCGCGCGACATATTCAATCCATGACAACTACGAGAAGCCAAAATGCCCTTCTATATTAATTTAATGGTGTTCCCGAAGTATTCGTACCAAGATGGCGCACAACCTGAACATGGTATGGGTACCGGTTTAGGGTTATTCAGGTTGTGCGTCATCTTGATACGAATACTTCCGGAGCGCCAATTTAATTGTGTCCAACGTAACTCGTGGTTGCGTCTTCTTACGTGAAAATAAAAACATTATCATTTTGAAATCCACGGCAGTCTGTTGACATAAAAGTATGAGACAAACTGCCCGATTGTATTTAGTTTTGATACGCATTTTTGCGATCTTGCGAATTCGCTATCGCCGTTAGAAAATCTCGAGATCTGATATAAAATCCCGTAGAGTACTATTCAATTTGGTAAAATAAAAATACATATTGGGTATATATAGATATCAGTAAATCTAAGATACATATTCATCGCCTCGAAATCTTCGTGGAATGATTTTTCTGTTGTGTGAAGTAATCAATTCATGATCGATACTGATATGTTTAAATGTCTTGCTTTAATAATTCAATTGTTTTCAATTTAACCTGCGGTTGCGTCGACAAATTAAAAGCATCACTACTCTAATACCACGGACATAAAAATGTATGGTAAACTGCCCGATTATATATTGTTTTGATCCGTATTTTGGCCACTTCGCGAATTCGACAATGCTGAGTTGTACGTGCAACACTGACTCCCTTTTATCGCAATGCTGCCACTCAGATATTTTAGAGATAAAACCGTTAGAAAAATCCCCTAGTCTGCTATAAAATTTCACAGAGTAAAATTTATTTTAATAATTTCAATAAAAAATTGATTGAATACACTTTATATTTATTATCCTATTTATCATCACAAACCGGAAAAAAATTGCCTTTTCAATGTTGTATAATGTTAACAATAAAATTTCCGACAATTTAAAGTAATGGATAAAAAAGTAAATCCCGCGCACCATTGACTTTGTTTCGATTTTAGTGACGGCGTAGTTCCCAACGCCGAACAAACGTAATGTGTGCCGTAGGCATACGAAATTTTGCGATTTACAATGTAAAGTCGCGGGCCTTCTACACCAAATGTTTACGGTTTTATTTTTCGTATTTTGTATTGCCGCTCTTCAATCAAAAAATTTGCGTCGTCGATTCACTACTTCATTTGTCTTTAGCACCTCGCCGCCGATAAATCGAATACCTTTCAATGTATTCACGATTCTGTGCGAGTACAAATAGAAAGTAATTATCATCATTTGTGATTTAAGGAGATCAAACCCCAACGTAAAGGTGTTTACGGCCTAAATAACACGTCACGCCGACGAAAACAATTGGCGATTTTAGCAAAATTCAATCGCACGCGTTATTGGCGACTTTTTCAGTTTTTCAAAAATTTCAAAAGGGAGGTGGTCCGAGTGTCTGGTGTGTTTTCAAGTAATATCTGTCACAAAAGAATATAATTTTAAGCGACATTACAAAACCAAACACGAGGAAAGGTACTGAAAATACCACGCTATTTCTTAAGAAACAATTTGGAAATAAGTAAAAGCTTCATATACCTTCCTTGACAACCTGATTAGAACAGTAACTCTCATCCCTAAATAAATTCGAAGTGAGTAAACTCGGGATGTTTTGATCACTTTGGGTTTTCTCCGACGGCGGCCCGTGGGACGTGCCTAAAAGTTTTTGCGGCCCTCCAACTTTGCAAGCTCTGACCACCCTCGTATAGAACAAATTATGAGGCGTCACTTCTTTCAGGAAAATCTTCCTAGTCTAAAAATAATTAGGAAGTAATGTCATTTGGTGAGTGTCTCAAATCAGCGAGTAAATGACTTGCATAATGTTTGAGACTTCGGTTCGAGTGAATAAACAATATTCATGTACATATATATATATATATATAGGCCTACCGAAGTAAATGTGAATTCTCGCGTTGCGTTTTAGTACTGCGCCCCTGGAGGTATCTGATATATAATGTAGTTTTGTCCTGTATAGGGATGTTTAAAGTACACCAATTAATAATCCACTCCGTGACAGGGAGATACATATTAGTTTTGTTGAGAGTTGATTAAAGACTTGAATGCACTATAGATATTACTGAAGCGGGACGAAAAACAAACACTACACTTATTCAACAAGAGCAAACGCAAACATGTTCAGTTAAAGAAACTCCCGTTGTTCATGAGACTATTGGATTACAATGCTGACTATCCCGAAGATAACCACGTTTCTATTGTGTTTTGTGAAAACAATAGTTTTATTGTTCACATAGCCTCTTTAAATCGTGTTAAAATATTTTGGGAATTGTGCATCGGATCGGGCGTGTATTACGAGTAAAACACTTGCGAACTTCACAAACTGTGACCAAAATAAAACTGGATGTAATCTGTCGCAAAAGTATGTTTATTTTATCTGAAGCATTTTCTGGGCTATATGGTTACATGAATCACACGGAATTATGAACTACTAAACAAAGCAGAATGACCGAAGAAATGCCCAGGTATGTAGTGTATATATATATAAACAAATTTTTGGCATCCCACGTAGTTAACAGTTTTATCGATTTGTATCATTACACATTGACAATACCATACGTTCATACGCATACATTTGCTAATGGTGGAAAAATCAAATTATCCAAATACAGCCGAGAGTCCGACTACGGCAATAGATTGTAGTTATAGCAACAGTGAAGTGGTATGGTATTTCTTTTTTTTTTCCAAAAATAAAAACCTAATCTATCAGTGGTCGTCGTGTGTAAATAATGCCTTTTAGCATGGAGAAATACCCTCCGTGTGGCAAGTCCACGCTTCTGAAATCAGGAGGAGTAAGAACAAGCTGTCCTTTTTATAACAAGTGACATTATGACGTAACAGAATGTAAAGCCTCGAAAATCACATATTGTTCAAAGAAAATCATATCTAATTCCAAAACGACGAACATGGAATGGAGTGGTTTTGTCTTTGATCGTGGTAAAATACTAATACTGGTATAATTTCCCGTTGAATTATTTTTGTAAATGATAAATTTATGTGATGCCCCGTAAAAAGAGGCGAGCAAATCCGAAAGAATCTTCAGCCGCGATACCAAAAAAACGCCACGTTTCAACTTCGAAGCTAAGGTAAGTCGTGATGAAGTGTTTTTTATATTAAATTATACGTCTCACTGAATATGTCAGCATAATCCCCTTTTAAAATCTGAGAGATTTTGAATTGAGATTTAAAATTTACAAATTTACTTACTTCTAGTTCGACTACCCTGATCCTCACCGATGTACAACCTGAAAAGCAAGATGAAGTCAAACAAGTTCAAGATATGGATGACGTCACACTTGTTGAAGACAGCCAGAATCCGGATGAGGTTGGTAGTATATGAATATTTGTTAGATTCATGCTGGACTGTGGTGTATAAACTTGCTTAAACCGTACGTCCTCGACAAAATTGACAGACAAATACGCCATATTTACTCGCACATTCTATATATATTTATATAAGTCATTACATTGGTGAATGCAAGCTTTATTAAATGCAATAGTCTCATTATTTTGGAAATATTACGGTAAAAATAAAGTATTTCAAATCTGATTATCACAGAAAAAGCTATTTGTATTTTGCAGAAACCAACAGAGGAACCTCAAGTAGTAGTATCACCCAAATCTGAGTCAAATCACTCTGTGAATTTCACGCTTCCAGAATCGACGAATTTACTGCTCTTGAAGGAAATCCTAGAACTTCCAAATTTATTCAAAGGAATTGCAACCGCGGAGAAAATAGTCCGTGCCAGAAAACGGTTATATACAGTACTTTTTCACAAACCCTGAAAGTTATTTACTATTAAGGCCCGGCTTCATCAAAGTATATATATATATATATTAGACAAGGTGGCTTAATTCGACGTCTTGATCGGGTACTTCAGTTGATATTAAATATATCAGTTTGTATTAAAAATAAAGACGATCAAACAGTGATTGTATTTCATCCGAGGTAATTTTTTGAATTATTTCGATCGTAGGCGTCAATTTGGACGGCCGTCGTGGCGGTGCCATTGACTCCAATGAACTCATTAATATTATTTCAAGTAAACGTTGTCAAGTGGAAAGTCAATATGATCAGCCCGTATGAATTCGGGTATGATATGCTAGGAGTTTTGATTATTCGATCCAATTTCACAGGTTTATAAACCTTGGCGACAAAAACATTACCGATATCCCGGAAGAACTTTTCGATTTTGACGAAGTTGTAGAATTACATTTAGAAGAGAATGATATTAACCATTTATCTCCACTATTTGAATATTTCAAAAGTTTAAGGTGAGTATTTTGTTCAATTTTTTGAAATAATGCCATTTAGAATATATCAAGTTGACAAGTTCATTTATACCTCACTGCTGGTTAGGGCTGGGCATTTTCGAAACACTGGTGTTTCGAAATCGAAACGAAATTTTGCCTTCGAAACGAAACGAAACACACGTTTGTCAAAAACAATAAAACCATCATTACCAATCGAATTTAATGTATAATTGCACATATTTTCAAGAATTAAAACCACAAAAACGAAGCACTGGAGGCTAATTCGAGAGCATGAAACGATAATGATAATTCAATGAAGGTTTTTGCTAATGACAAAGCAGTGACCAAATGGCATCAGAATAATTATTACGAATTACGTCATTGTTAGAGATGGGGCTCACAAGCAGCATATATAGCATGGGGCCTCTCAACGTATCAATGCGACCCTGCCCTCATCTTATGTAATAATTGGGATCATTTTCTATATTATCCGATGTCACAGAGCCTTGTGATCCACTGGGGTAATAATACCAAGGAGAGCCATAATACCAAGCCACAACCGAATACTTGACTATTACATTTTAAAAAATATCTTTGAATCTGAATTCCAAATACATTCTTAACTCCATGAACACAGCAAATGGGCTTTCATGATATTATCGTTGATTGAAATTAGCTATAACTAGGCGCCCAGAGAAATGATTTAAATTAAACAGTAAAATTAATATAAATTCGGATTTTTGTCGCGGCTAACTTTTGTTGTGACTGTTTATCGTCAGCGTGACATCGACATCGTTAAGCTAAATTCCGCCACAATTATCCCTCCCCCACAAATTTTGACTGTTTGTTTTGCTTATAACGCGATTATCGTCGTAATCAAATGAGTCGACCCAATTCACAAATTTCCATCCGCCAATGACGGAGAGTTAAGACTGAAAATCGTGTTTCATTTTTCTTCAAGTCAGTTCTGATTTGAGTATTTCACGTCGACTGTTATGCTTTTATTATTGCTTATAAATTAATACCGCAAACTTGCACTGAACTATATTAATATTAACGACGGCAGTGTAACAATAAAATCTGCGATAGATACTAAATGATATTCCAGAGCTAGTTCATACGGGGCAAATGCAGGACATGCTCGGTCACTATAGAAGCTAAGGGTGAAAAAGATTATTTACGACAAAATTTGATTTTAGATTTATTGCCGCAGTAACCCAGACTATCTCGACTATGTTGAAATATATTCAATATTCTTATAAACACTAAAAACGATATTTGAGAGTCGCGATAGTCGAATAAATTCGGATATGAAATTCGACTTGGACATCGCTGAATGATATTTTGACTGATTTCAGATTGTTATTGCTATGACGTCATAATGTCCGTTTCGGAAGTCGAAACAGCGCCGTTTCGACATATCAGTGTTTCGAAACGTATCGAAACAGTGTTTCGAAACGCCCAGCCCTACTGCTGGTATTTAGTAGAGACGAATTAGTTTTTTTCGATACAAGTTATTTATTACTCGATTTAATGGAATCGTTCTGTTGCTTTATATTGTTACGTCATAAACATTGTTTTCGAGTCTGGAGTTGATAACACATTCTGATACAATAACACTTCAACAACTTTTATTTAATATGGCAGAATTCTTTATCTCAATGGAAATTGCATATCGGAATTGTGCCCCGAGATTGCAAAGCTAACGCAATTGAAATCAATTGATCTGAGTTGCAATCCACTATCACCATTTCCTTCGGATATCATCACAAAGTTGGTTTATCTTACTCATTTGAGACTGTATGATACCGGACTAACGTCGTTTCCCGCAGAAATATGCAGAGTAATGCAGTACTTGGAAGTTTTAGGACTTTCCGGTAATGACATCGAAGACCTACCACCAGATTTTATATGCATGCAGAAGCTACGCGAGGTTTACTTGAAAGATAACAAAATGGTTGAATTTCCAATTTGTTTGTGCGGTTTACCAAAACTTTGTATTATTGATCTGGAGGGTAATAAAGTCCAGTATATCCCAAAGCAAATATCACTTCTGAGAGAATTGAAAAAGTTTTATATTTCTCGAAATTCTCTGCTTGCGATTGAGAAGCAGTTGTGCAAATTGAAACAACTTGAAGTCTTAGAAGCATCCGACAATAGAATTTCCGATTTACCTAACAACATTCATGATATTATTAGTCTGCGCGATTTGTGCTTGGATAATAATCGAATTAGAATTTTACCGAAGAAGTTTCATCGTCTCGTCAACTTGGAAGTTCTTCGATTACGTAACAACGGCATCAGAGATCTTCCAAAACGAATATCGAGAATGGCATGCTTGTCCAGATTAGATGCTGGTGGAAACAGGTAGCATTTTTTTGTGATATATAAGTTGCTACAATCTTTTGAGTGATTGTCTCTATTTGTTCGTCATTATGAGAGCATGCAAGAGATAAAAAATTTAAAAACTAGTAGGCTATTTCATATACATTTTAGTAACACTTTTTAGCCTAAGATGCGCTTAGTATCAATATATCTTCTAAATTTTTCATTCCATTTACCAATTATATTAACGTTACTAAATTTGACGCTCGAGAGTGCCGGTAACACTGAATCTTTAAGTAAACTTAACATTCTCCAGCTTGGCAAGTTTCATTATTTGTTGTTTACAGACTCGAGCATCTTCCAATCAACATTTGTGCTCTCTCGCAACTCCGTATTCTCATGTTGGACGACAATCAACTGCGCGATGTTCCACCTTATATCGGTCATTTGCGAAATTTGGTGCTTCTTAGTCTCACTGGTAATAAAGTAAGTTAAAAGGCATTGATACACTTTTCAAGTTTCGATAACAGCCAACAAACAGATCTTTATACTTTTTAGTTCGATGTCTTCCCTATCGCATTGTGCAGTCTGAAATCACTAGAGCATTTGTATCTCGGCCAGGATCAAGGAAAACCATTCACAAGGCTTCCAAACCAAGTAAATCGAATAAAACATTTAGTCATGTATGCGTATTCGAAAACAGAAATTACCAAAGAGTATCAATCGAATAGTGAAATGATATAATATATAGAACTTCACATCGTTGGCACTTCAGCGGATTTGATACCGTTTTACACGGGATCAAATGCATTTTTTAGCCTACTCAAAGAAAACAGCTAAGTGGAAGCTGATTCCACAGCGTGGGGGCCGCGAAAAAATCAATGATAGTAAGGATAAATTTTTATCCAGTTCTAATTATGGTTCATAATTTCAGATAAAGTATCTGGTCAATCTTAAAAAGCTATATCTGGATAACAATCAGCTGGTAACTCTACCGGAGAGTATCCGTGAATTACGTCTGCTCACTACACTCGTTGTCAGCAACAACCGACTGTCCTCGCTACCAGCTTGTCTACCAAGTTTGACAAGTATGAATTATTTTACCAGGTTTAATTTTGTATGAACGCAACTCAAAAATTGTGCTCACCATTACCTAGATGGGAGATAATAAATAATTGGTTCAAAATTTGAAAAATTATTGTTTTTTTCCATACAGACTTATCAACTCTGTACCTGAATAACAATGATCTCACCAAACTATCGGAAGACGTCGATCAGTTGAAACAACTGAAAGACCTGGATGTTTCAAACAATCCCTGGCAATATCCGCCACAACATGTTTGTGAACAAGGCCTACAAGCGATTCTGAAGCATATCGCAACGGAAAAGAAATTGAGATACTGTGCCACCAAGGTGAAACTGATTGTCTATCAGTCTATTGGATTACGGAGTGAACATTTCTTTTATATATATTGCTTTCTGACTTATGATGCATTCCCGTTCACAATTTACTTTAAATGAGAGAACACCGAACATGTGGTATTACCAATTTGAACACCCTCGTCCTTTTTGATAAAATTCTCTATATATATAACCTAATTCAATCAATATTCATAATTCATTCTTAGATTCAAGCATGGTGGAGGGGAAATATGGTGAGGCATGGTTTCGGACCGTTCGATGGGGGTGCCAAGTCAAAGAAAAAAGGAAAGAAAGGAAAAGCATCGGCAAAAGGAAAAAAGAAAGGCAAATGAAGATAGACTTTTTATCCATTTATTTAGATCCTAACAATACTACCCGGGAAAACACTCACACACACACAATAAAAATTCTAATATTTTAAGTTGCAAGGATTAACAGTAGAAATTATCCAAAAATGAATTCAGAACTTAATTGCCGGAAAAAATCCTATTCTTCGAAATTCTCAAAACAATTATGTTTTTCATACTATGACGACATATTTCGGTTGACATGATTGGTTTCTTAATCTGTTTAGTTATATGCGTCCTAGTAATTATATCCTGTTCTACACTATGCTCATTAGATTTTATTTTTATGTTACGACTTCACCAATTAGTATAGTTTCTTATGTTATTTTATCTTGCACTTATTAGTTGACGTTTTATAGATTTTCAAAATTAAATCAAACACTTGTTTCATATTATATCCTTTTTATTGATTAGATAAAAAGAAAAGCAAGAAAGGTGGAGGAAAGGGGAAGAAAAAGTAATGACGCCGGTTAAAGAAATTCAGTTAATATTAGAACAGATAAAAGTCAAAAGTCAGTGGCAGATTGAAGTTGATCGTCTATAAATTTCAAATATTAATTTGCAGTTAACAATTATGAATCGAACTTCAGCGTACGAACCATCAGTGGCCTAAGCTCAATATACCAGTAATTTTGATGTGATTTTATGAATAGTTTTGAATATAAATAGCCTTAAAAGTTAGTTCACTTTTTATTGGTGTTATTCAATTTTAATATATACAAACGTGGGCTAAAGTACAAACCCGTTGGCGTTCGACAGAAGAGGATTCACAAAAGCGAGCGTCAAATTATTTTTAGGTCGGATTAGTTTATTAAAAAGCAAAAATATTCCGTTTTCAATTTGACTTCATCCGTAGCAAAGTTTTTAATCTTAATAATATTAGCCAGGTCGCGACGCTCATGCAACGAGTTTTTCCCTAGAAGCCAAATGTGATGATATTGCACGCATAATAAAATTAGGTGCCTCGATAAACAAAGGTATTTATTCTATATATTCGTTACAACGGAGGAATGCAGCTTCCATTAATTTTCAGTGAAAATTTGTCGAAAAATTTCCAATTAGGAAACGATTTTCATATCGTTCACAGACAGCTCAATCATATGGCGACACACGGCCCAGGTAGTGTTTGAAGAAAATAACCAGACAATTGTACCATCTGCATTGACTTTGGTGACGGACGACGATAAAATCATATAAAAAGTCCACAGTAGTTCTGAAGATATAGAGTTTTTTTGCCTCAATTTAAATGCTTCATATATTAATAACCAGACTCACCTGCCAAACTTTAAAACCAAAACACACAAGTTAAAAATGAAGAGTTTCTTATTTAATTCGTGTAATGTGCTGGAAACTATGAGAGATGACAAATGGTAAGATGTGAAAAATAAATAAAATACAATCACAGTAAACAAACAGTGAAGCTGAATAGAGCTCGGCGTCACCCAGTATCTATAATGAAACAATTCTTATACAGCTAAAATTGAAGACACAAAATAGAATTTTCTAAAAACAAATGTAGCAGTTTCATAAAATAAAAATTGTCCACACACCAAATAAAAGTAAGGACAAATGACAATGTAAATATTTTATTGGTTTCATTGAAAGTTTGTAGATTTAGTGCCAGCAATTACTAGATTTTAAGGGTGAATTATATTTAGTTGAAGTAGTGCAAATTCTGATATGTCGGCCGTCCAAGCAGAGTTGCTAATACAAAATGTTCACACACGGAAATATATTAGGAGTTCACATTTTATTTTTAGAATCACAGTGATTGTGAAAAGAATTTTGCACTGATTAGGTATCTTGATTTTTATATAGATGAACAGTCAAAAGCGGGTTGATCTATCTAATTTAAGCGAGAAAACTTGTTAAAAAAGACATGTTCACAAAAATGTTAGTCAAGTGACTAACTCACTAATCTGCATTATGAAATACCATTTTAAAAGGTAGTTAGCTAGTTACCTGTAAAAATGTCTAGATAAATATAATCTAAAAAAAATGATCAAAATTACCTATTGAAAATGACAAATCGGCAAGTATAGAGGCAATACCAGCACTAGCATGTAAAAGAATAATGACTAGCCATAGGTTATGCATGCCTGAGGGAGGCCGGGCAATACCAGTTAATTTACTTCTTTGTATAAGAAGAATTAACACACTAATTAATATATCAGAGCGCATTCAATTTCAAATTGTGCAAACGATATTAACACAAATTTATTGTGAATGAGACTAAATGATATTAAAAATAATCCTGTTGATACAAAAAAATTGTTACTCTCGTAGTGTGTGTACCAGATTAGGGTTGGGCAATCATTTTATTCCGATTCTCCCTATTTTAGTTCTATCACATGTTCGAGGACTGTCTGTGTTAGCCAAGTGAATATACCCCCTGCCCCTAGGTTTCAGTCCCTTCACACAACTTGATGTAGAGTAGGCAAACAAAATTAATATCCTCCATATTACTACACACACTTCTGTAGCGCCAAAAAATTAATTCAAGTAACAAACCAGTAAAAATCCAAAAGAATATTAGTTTTTAGTGATCACATAGAGAAATAGGAAGAGAAAATAGAAGGAATAGAATAGAAGAATTTTCAGAGACTCAATCTGGTTTAATGTGTTATGTGCACATGAATTAGATACAAGTGACAATGTGTTTAGTCTGTGTATTAAATTATGTAAGTTCATAGATCAATATGTGATAATCGAAAGTGAAATAAATCGTCAGTCTTTAAAAACTTACAAATTTGTTTAGAATTATTGAAAAACGGTCATACAATACAATTTTCAAATCAAAAAGTGAAGCATAGAAGTATTTTAAAAAGAAGATCACTAATGTCGATAAGCTATTGAAAATAAACACGAAAATCGTGATAAGGTACTCATGCTAGAGCAACAAACAAGATGTTAATATGAAATATTTTCATAACATACTTTTATCAGTTCACAACAATACTTCAGGCACAAGAGGCATTTAAAATTGTTACAACAACCATCAAAAATCACAATTTAATATTTTGTACATAATTCAAACTACTACCTTAGGTATTCAGAACAGTATTTTACTGTCCTTATGCGATGGTATCTGACGCTTATATCAAGCAAATATACATGAAAAGCCGCATTAGTTGTCTCGAAGCATGTTGCATGGAATAAGTTTTAACATGAAGATGAATAAAAGAGCCAAAAAGATAAAAATTTTATATATACAAAGTGACCCCAAAAAAACAGAAATAACTTTTGCGAAGCATCCTAGATTGCTTTAAGTTTTGGGTACAATGCAATCATACACAAACGGGAGAGTTGAATAAATTTTTTTTCATTTTCGTATAAATAATCAAAAAGTTTAAGGGTTCTGTTTTTTGGGTCACCCTGTATACATAAAAAGACTTTTTGTTTGGTATTTTGAATATTCTATTCTTGACTGGTTGGAAAGAGAGGGAGGGATATTGTATACATATCTGAAATCATATAATAGTTTTGACATTATGAAATTATCCATTATTTAGACTCGGTAGAATTCAAGTGGTTGAATTTAAGTAGAGAAATAAAGAAGAATGATGTACAAAAGTCATCAAATATGATAAAAAGAAAACTTCAAGATAAATCTCCATGTTTTTTCTTCTTTTTTTTCTTTGTATTTGTGCCGATTGGGTTGAGAGAATCGAGTCTGTGTGGTCTTCTTGTTAAGGCAAAATCTAAGTTTGAATTATTCCCGTTTAATGACATTTGTGCTAATGAACTAGTCGATGCAGGATTGTGTTGGCTCGGAGAATTTCGGTCTCCATTTGCCAGTCCATTTGTAAGCAAAGGTGATGAAGTGCTATGCATTCCAAGCATGTGAAGTCCACCTAGAAATCAAACAAGTTAAAATATTTTTTCCAAAATTAAAAAAAAAATAATAATAAAATTTTTTATTCATATTTTGTAAAGAATTTGGAAATTTGAAGTCATATCTCGTCACAATGTTTGATTTGTTTAAGGATGAGTAAGATAGGAATTCTAAGTTAGATATGGTTTTATCAAGTTTAATTGGCTAAAAGGCATCAAAATGATACAAAATTGTGTAATACATGCAAAATCATGTTACCAAAAAATAATAGTTAGCAGATAATGTTTTAGGTGAGAAAGCAATAAAGTGAAATATTTTAATACTAGTCGCAAGGTGCAATATACATTTCAGTATGGAATACCATATAAAATATTCATATTCAGATGTACATATTTGCATTTCATAGGATCATTTTTTAGCCAAATGCTGGAATCCAGCATTGCTGACGTTTCTTTCACTATCATTTTTATGATCATTATATCAGTGCTGGGCCGAACTCGCTAAACCCTGAATCAGGTCGAGTCAAGGGATCATCTAGGTCTCAAGTCGTGTCACAGATTATCTGGGTCTCAAGTCGAGTCACAGATCATCTGGGTCTCAAGTCGAGTCACTGATGATCTGGGTCTCAAGTCGAGTCACTGATCATCTGGGTATTAAGTCGAGTCACATGTCATCCGGGTCTCAAGTCGAGTCATTGATCATCTGGGTCTCAAGTCGAGTCATGAATCATCCGGGTCTCAAGTCGAGTCACAGGTCATCAGGGTTTCAAGTCGGGTCACAGATCATCTGGGTCTCAAGTCGAGTGGCGGATCATCGGGACTCAAGTTGAGGGAATCACTGAGTTAAATTGCACTAGCTATTAGTTGATGACGAGTACGAGATAGTTGATGGCGAGACCGAGTCATTTCATTTTGATGGCTCAGATCACTTCGAGTGTTTGTTAAATGGTGACTATGTCCCACTCGAGTCGAGACAATACCTCCAGCGTCCACAATATCGTTAGCCACATTTAACATAAATATAGTATTTGAGAGCAGAAAACAGTAATATATCTTTTGGTTACCTTTAGATGGCTGATCTGTATGTGATGACGAAACAATTTGATGAACGTGTCTCTTAGGCATAAAATATTTATTCGCAAATTCTTCGCTGCTACTGTTGCTTAATTTACTATAGAATCGATCATCTTCTGCTTCATCATTTCTCTGTTGAAAAATGATTAATATTACCAATGAAGTGACGAATTGAATGTATAAAAGTAAATGAAAAAATGAAGATACATCAAGTCATCAACTCAACATTGGAATATATCAGTTAATCGTACGATCGTCCTACACTTGCAACAATCTCACTTCAAATGAATACATATCTTCCGCCAAGAGTATTATATCAATCCCAACCCGGAACATAGCATGAATTCAACTTCATATGTTTACTTTTAACTATTTGCCTCACATTATATATCTACCATAACTCGGAACAGTGGGAAAAGTCTGGGATAAGGGGGGAAAGTTTGCTGTAAAGGGAACAGACAAGTGTAGGATAGGATTTACATATTTATTCTGGAGGAGAGGAAAGTCGATGGCATGATCATATGACACAGCCTCTCATCTAATCACCAATCCATGTCGGGTATAGGATTAGTTAGCCAGTTATTGTTATTTGTTACAAATGCATGAACTTGATGGAGAAGGAAGCCGTAACCAATCAGTGGTGGCGCGTGCAGTCCAGCAATCCTCTGGCACATAATTATTCCCACAGAATTCGACCAGTGAACCCATGCAGGGTAATCAGAGGTATAGTGGTAAGCATATTCCCAGCACTTAGCACCACACCGCTGAGCCACGACACAACATTTTGAGACACCAACATTTTTGGAAAAGCAAACCAATTGCGAGAAAGTCAACATGTCAATTATCAGAAATTAAAAGATATGCAGTTGCTCACACTAGTATATGATTCAACAGAAGTTGTTTGTTGAGATAGACCTCTAGCTAGTGTACGTGATCCTGACAAAAGAGAAAAATAAAATATTATATAAGACAAAATAATTATTATTATTATAATTCTCTCCAGTAATTTACCTATCAATTCTCAGTTTATGCTAGTATAGGGCATAGATTTGATGACCTTATCGTATCGCTACCACTCAGTCATTTATCGAAAACTTTGAACTCCTTTTTATGTTTTTTTTACTTGTGGCAAAAGCAATGAATTCTCTCATTGAATTGAACATATGACTTTAAATTCAAATATTGAAAAAACTCATGAATTTACAATTTTGTCATCACCCTGATGTCAATGATACCAATGGTTGCATGGATTCATATTTTTATTCTTTTAGATTAGCAATAAATGAAATACCTGCAGCTGGCAGTGATGTTTTAACAACAACAAGATCAGGCAATTCCCACGTTTGTTGATCATCGTTCCATGTTGATTCATTACGAACTCGATCAATATTATTGTAATTACAATCACGTCGTAGTGTAGGATGTATTTTACTTATTAATCCCTTAAATAAACATATTCATTTTATACATTTATTTATTACAGAATGTCTACATAGAATTACAAACAGAAAAAAACAAAAGCAAAAAGTAAATAGTGTATAAAATACAGGACATACATAATAAAAGAACAAAAACTACTAAACAGGCACACTTGTAACACAAGACAACAAAGAACCGTAAATTAATTATTTTATGCTAATTGAGCGATTGTCCATCACAGTTGTAAAATGGTGAAAGCGCTTCAACCTATTGCCACGAAAGTGGGATAAATTTTGTAAAATAATCAAAAAAAAATATCAAAAAAACTTTTTTTTCAATTTCATAACCTTATCATAATAAACATTCAATCTAGAAATATTGACCTGTAAAAACGATATTTCTCTTTCTTGTTTTCTAATAGTTGAAAGATATTCTTCTCTGTCACGTTCAAATTCATAACTGACATCTTCAACTTCCATCTTAGCAGCTTCCAACTGCAAAACAAAATTTTGAGTTTGTTTAGTTCTATAATAGCAGATGTATATGGCACAAATTGCATAAAGTTTGTTGTTTTTTCACAATTTTTTGAGTGAAGTTTTCAAACATAGCGAACACGCTAACACAGCATAATAAATTTTTTTTTTTGCAAAAATTGTAAAAACACATGATGGTGTTCATAAAATATTTATCACTTCAGCTACCAAAACTATTGCTGTATAAATGTAGTGGAGCACAAGCAGAGAGAATTAACATCTTGTGATTATATTTGATATAAACTATATCATAACAATTTTGGCAAAGTATGTTCCATGATTCATCAAAGACAAAAAAAGCAAGATGCATATCATACATAAACGATGTCCGTCGGTAGCGCAATGCATTATGCATTAGGAGCACTCTTATTATTGCCCTAAAAGAATTGGCAGGTTTGAACCTCATTGAAGATAAAAATGACTTATTGTTGTGATAGGGTTTTGATAAAACCATGAATCTATTATGGCTTCATTATCCAACTCTGTGAATCTGGAATTGACTGGTTACAGATTCCTATTATATATCCAACACTCATTTGGTCTGATAGCCACACAGACATACGGCATAGTTCTACTGGTTACTGGTATACTGCACCCTCAATATAAAAAGAATATTTTTATCCCAGTTTGCAATTTGCAATACTAACCTCTCTATTTTTTATTGAGATTATTTTATCTCTGGCTTTCACTTCATCATGAATGCTGTCATACACATTTAACATTATAATTTCATCATCCTCTCGAGCAGCTTTTGCTAGCAAAAATCTTCTTTCATCAACATGTTTTTTCCTTCTTCTACGCTTTTCTTTTGCGTCTTCATCATTCGCTTTCTCACCTCCAACCATGTTCTGTTGAAGCATTTGAAGCCTGGAAGCAATTAACTCATTTACTACTTTAAATATTGATGCAAATGTTAAACAAAACCAAAACTTGAGAGTTTATGGATGATATGGCCCAATGGTTAGAGCAGGGGTTCTCAACCTTTTCTCTGTTAAGTACCCCCCGAGTCACGAAACAATCAACGCGAACCCCCAGAATCTTGAAACAATCAACGCGAACCCCCAGTAATCAGACACCAAACTAAATTGCAATTTGCTGCAACGACTGCCAAGCCATGCATTTCACATTGTTGCGTCCCAATCACAACAAGGCAAGATCAGGGTTAATGTACGCTGAGTTTCAAATGGCACATATTTTTATAGTTACTTTCTTACTCTACAAAGAAATTGTTAAAGGATATTAAAAAAAAGCAACACACGAAAACTCAACTGTCATCCAAGTACCCCTGAAAATCTTCTCGTGAACCCCTGGGGGTCGCAAACCCCAGGTTGAAAACCCCTGGGTTAGAGCATTCAGCATAACAGGATAAGAATTTCGGGTTCATATTCAATGTGTTGTTCGAAAAATAGTTCTCTTTTGCAGAGGGAAAATTTGAAATTTCACAAGGATCGGCAAGTTTTTTGCTGTTGCCATAGAAACGAAACATCAGAAAGGATTTTCGGTGAAACACATATTAATAGGATAACGAGACAACCTGTGTGGGAAATTTTATCCAGATTGATTCGGTCGTTTGAACGCTACAGCCAGATATACAGACAGAACTACTCAGAATAAGGGTCTCCTGGTGAAGAGATCCAATAAGGTGATTTGTTGTCTTTCTCCAATATAAATATATAAATAACATTTAACATAGGAATAACTTCTATTATCATTTGAATGTGGATAACAAGCTTTGTTAAAATTGACAAAAATATTTCATAATCAAAGCAAAAAAACTGGCTGAAAAATATGACATATGGTGTTTCATACTCACTGATGCAACCACATACATTTTGTTATTACTTGGGATTTCTCAACTCCTTTTTTCATAATCATCATTAATGAAATATACCTTTTCAATGCTTCTTTCTGCTGCTCCATGATAACTTCTTCTTTCTGATCTTCTGATGAAAAATTTTGTTGTTGTTGTTGTGATGAAGTAGCATTATCAACTGTTCCGATATACCGAGCGACTTGTGCTTTCTGTTGGCTACTTGCTGCAGAACTACTTTCAGTTGCCTGAAGAAATATAATATACTCAAATTGATAAACTCAGAAGTCAAATTAAGTATCACACAGAGTATTTCTAATTTTTCTAGTCATGTGTTTATGTTGCTAAATTTAAATCTAGATACTGTGATATCCAATATAAACAATTCTCAACCTGAATCTGGGGTAAATTATACAAGCAAGAAAGTACATGACAAAATGTGGCTGTTGACCAAATGGAAGAATGCAAAGTAATCTCTTGTGCAATTTCAGTATACACTGCTGAGGGTAGATTCTATTTTTGTAATTTGTCAAGGTGTAAACCAAGAGAATAAAAGGTTCGGAACAGCTATTCTGTGTTAATCTCTGCATTCATTTTCTTTTTTTTAATTATTCTCTCTCTGCATATTGTGCAGAAAACGACATCACAATTTACAAAAATAATTACCGTAAAAGTCAGTATTTTGAATTATTTAAAATTAAAAAACACATTATTCAAATATTATTGTTAAAAAAAGGGATTGACTGTATTTATATTAAATCAAATCAAAAGGAATGAAAATTAAAGGTTTATAAGAAAGAAGAAAACACAATAAAAAAAAAAGCAAAATAACAAGAAGCTAGACCCTCAAAAAACATCAGTTAAACAAAAAAGATGGAGTATAATATTCTAATGATTAAAGTTTTCTAATATTTATATATCTTATCCCATCCTTGGCTATGTTTATAAAAATATACTTTCTAGCCGAGTTCATAATACTAAAAACAAAATTCATCAGTCACATTAATAATTTTTTTATGACAGAACAAGTGGAATTTCTAGAATTTCAGAAAACGCATGCGAAGTACACATCTATAAATTTGTCTACTAACATCAAATGATGATTCTGTAAAACCAGTATCTGTTGATGATAAAGTCGATGAACCATGAGATGCCGCAAGCTGGTGAAGAAATTAATAAAAAGATTTATTTTAAATTATATAAAGTGCTAGCATTACATGTATGGTAATCACTGACACATCATGCATTAACTATTTATGTTAGTAGTTTCAGGAAACTCGGGTTAGAAATAGTGATGGCAGATATTGCATTATTTTTGTTCTGAATAAAACTTGAAATTTAGTAAAACATAGCATTAGCATTCAAAGGTCCACTTCATGCGCAATAAATTAACACTCAGTTCAAATAACAGTGTGACCTAAAATATTGCTTAACCAAATATGGTATCAATCCTTGAGGTATATTTAACTAATAAACTTGAAAAACTCGTATTGCATTGTAAAAGGCTACATTCCACATTATGTAGTCTCTACACAAGTCATAAATCATATACATTACAGAAAAGGGGAAATATAATTATGTATTTATAGCATAAATAGAATTGCATTTTCTCTACAACTGCATAATGAATGAAAAAAAAATATCGAGATGTGCATTATTCCACAAAATAACGTATTTGAGAAAGTATCATGCATTAAATTTGGGAATCCAATAAAATTTTGCACCGAAGGCGTCAACTATGAATTGGAATTCTGACTGAAATATTTGTATTGGTAAAAAAATCTTGACAGGAAAATTAAGTATAAATTTGTGTATATTGATATCTGATGTTATTTCATTTACAAATCACCAAGGCTCTATAATTGGTAAGATTGGAATGCCTCGAACGAATAATGTATAACTCTGTTACCGTTCTTTGAACCTAATTTGAACTAACAAATTTGAGCTAAAATCGACATAATTTTATCGATTGTATATTAAAATTAGAACAAAAATGATTATTATGTACACAACTAACAACAGGTTACAAATTACAATACATGCAATATGCTTTATAGCTACGAGATACTGATCACTATTCATTTAGTGACTTTGCAACAGAATAAGTTAAAGTTGGTGTGGGGCAAATGAAGCACACAGCAAGCATAATATATTCCAAGATAGTCACTGTTGCAATTCTCTGATCTTGTGAAATTAATTTTTACACACAAGTTTGCTCAGAGCAAAGTTCATAGCATCAACTACAAGTGAAGAGAGTACTGATAGTAGTGTCACAATTAACAATGATGTGGGAAAGATATACAAAAGTTTATTTTCGAGATGGGATGTCAGTGGATAGTGGTTGATACTTGAAAATTTTCGAGCAACAATGTCAGAAAAATAACCAGGAATTGAATTCTATACAGCAGAAATGTTGATTTGTAAGTGGGACTTCATTGCATGTTTACCACGATTTTATACAAGCAGATACTGCCAAACAAGCCAATAAGAACACCTTTAGATATTGTATTGGTGTGAATTCGCAAACACCCCACAATATATCAAATCAATATATCAAGAACAAATACAAATAGACAGATATAAAATAAACAAAACTTGAATGTACACTGAACAGACACAGAAAAATTTATTTTATTTACAGCATGCGCAACTGCTTCCAATGGTTCATTAGGAAATGTATCGATAGATCTCTTGACTGAAAGTTCGAGAGCATGATTGTAAATCATTTCAGAAAGTTTCAACATAAAATTAGCAGATTGTCTGTAAACTAGAAGATCGGCATCAGGAGATTCCTGAACAGCGTTTTCAGGATTCCCTGATTCATCCTCTGTTTCGGAAAAGGATGACCCACAACGAGATGTATCTGATTCGACTCCAGAATATGGTTCGACTTCAGAACAAGACGATACAAACCTTTCCTGAGTATCCAGCATTTAGGAAGCAGAGATATTACAAATAACAATTAAATTAAATATAAATTGAAAGTAATTTAAAGACTGATGTAAAGAAAAGTCTGATTGCAAATAAAAAACGTAAAACTGAATGTTTCTGAGAGAGAATTAGAAGGCAAATTACAAAGTAACAATGAAAAAATTTCCTAAAATGCAACTATTGTTAGTTTGCTTCAACATCATTCATATCATGACCAATGATGAATAATGTATTATTCCAAACTCATTTTGACCACACAACGAAAAAATTCGAACAAGCAGATAAAATTCAAACTAAGCTATATTTAAAGAGCAAAACAATGTCTTAAAAAAGCTTGCAATGAAAACAAGGTAGTTTGGAAATAAAGAGTTGTTTTCGCTAATTTTGAAAACAGCAGATTTAAACATGTTAAATAATAAATTAACATAAACAGAGAGAATAATGAGAAAGTTCCAGATTCCTGTACTAAACGATGTCTATATCGCAATAGTTAAATCTATAAGGCATTTTAAAATTTTCTAAATTCTGAAATTATTTCATAATTTATATTTATATAATTCATATTTCATCAATACAACAATTTCAATATAGATGTCATGATATTTATGAAATGAGATTAGTTTGATTAATTGTAATCCAAACCCAAACTTTACAAAACACAGGGTAACCAAAAAAACAGAACCCAGGTAAATTGCAATGTATTCTAAAGAGAACAAACTTTAATGAAACTTGGGATACAATCATATATAGAGTTTAAGTGTTAAATAAATTTACCCAGTATTAAAATAAAAAATCACCTGGTTTGGGTCAGATTGATGTGAAGAAGAGGCTGCAAAGAGGAAAGAAATCAAAAATTAGTATTGTTGCATCATAATGTAAATGTAAACTAGAACTGAACAAATAAGAGCATTTTCACCAAACAGATCTTACAAAATGCAGATATCACATATGGACATGAATTGAGATCAAATTTTAATATTCATTTTGGGAGAGAGGAAAGGCAACAACATGACTCAATTATATGGCGAACCGCTGCCTCTACTCTGGTTACTAGTCTATATCAAATATGGGAATAGTTAACTACTTCAGATTCGTGGCAGGATGAAACTTTATTTATTTGGATCCAGGTGTAATGACAATAATTAACACAAATTCAAAAAGTTAGGTATGCAGAAACTTCCAATATGCCACACAACAATTTAAAAAAAGACATCATCTGGTAGTTATTAGCACAGCATAAGACTACAAATAGAAAAAATTCCAATATAATTGAATCGCCTTTGTCACAGCAATGGTGATACTATGGAGTCTTAATTATCATTAATACATTGTCCCAAGCGAGCAAATAGATTTTCCGAATTTTTTTCTTAGCGAACATGGTGTCCTAGTGATTACAGAGAGAATCCGACTTAATTATGATGAAAACGCAGATTGATTAAAATCTCGGGTTTAAATACCATGCCCACCACCTCGCCTGGGCTGTACAAAATTGGGTAGCCAATAATTTAGCCCCAAAAATATCAATGGCTACTTGTGCAGAGCCTTTTTAAGAGTGGGCGAAGTATGAATACAGCATATCAAAATAATACGATGTGATGTGTGTTTTTTTTTTCAGAGAAAATATTCACTTACTCGAAGACATTTTATTCATTTGCTCCATTTGTTGATTATATTGACTTTTCAATTTATTCATATCCTCTTGTAATTTTGCATTACTCATTTGCTCTGCTTCATATTTCCCTTTCAATTCATTTAATCTGGCTTCAAATTCCTACATAATTTGTATCAAAAGAAGAAACACAAAAATAAGTATTTCTTTAAAATACTGTGGAATGTCCAAAGTAGCGCAATAAAAATTGAAATCTTTTATTTTTTTTCTCATCACCTGAGCATGGGAAGCATTTCAATACTACTTTACCTAGACAGTAATCTGCACTTGAATATTTTAATAAAAAGGTATGCTTTCTATGACTTGTCCTTGCCTAAAAATGCCATTTTATAAAGGATAGCCAAATAAATGCCCATTCTATATTGCATACTAATATTTTCAGAGAATGAAGAAAGTTTAGAATTACACTTTCACAGATATAATCCTGTAAAGATTTCGCTGGCATAAATTCACATATACTTGTATAAAACCCAAAAATATTGCTGAGCTAAAAATGAAAAAAAATTTATAAATTCGCCACCATAATATAATCATCTTACTAACTGGTTTATAAACTCAAAATATGATGACTGTCAATTTCTAGTCACATGTCAGGCTAGAATGCTAGATAGACAGGCGATTGTGAAAGTTTGAGCTAGTTTCATATCTTTGAGTAATTTTATTTCAAAATTCAATTGAGATTGATTTGATAATCAATTCAAGATCAGTATATTAAAGCTGCATTCATAATATTCGAACTACAATAGTTTCTACTTCTTACAAATTAGAAAAATGAAAAATATGGCATTATCAAATAAAGCCTTTAAAAATATCTAAAACTGTATCTAAAATTCTCAAATTGTAAAATATATATTAAAAAAAAAAAATGATTCGACCAATCACATTCCATCAATAAATCTAAATTCATATAATTTTTCAATATCAAGTCTGAAGTGGATTCGAAATACAAGCCTCGAAACAAAACATTTCTCAAATCACAGACTTCAGATCCAATTGGACACTAAAACAAACTGGCAATCACATTCTAACTGTACAGCATCCACACAATCTCGCACACTAAATGAATTATTTACGTAGTTTCACTGCACTAAACAGAGTAACTGCAACATGGTGTAACATTTTCTCTTTTTGAGTAAAACAATGTGAGGTTGAATTTTAATTATTTATGTGAGAGATATACGGTATGTTAAGAAAAATCATAATTACCATTCTGATGTTTTCAGAGTCATCAGAAGTGCTTGTTGCTTGAGTTTCATCATCGTCTTGAACATCTTTGAAAACAGATTTTGGCCGAGGAGGCGGCGACTGACCCTCCAATAAAGCTGAAAATATGTTTTTTTATCATCTCAAATCATCAAGTCAAAATAATGTAAATATTACTAATTAACTAACAATCAAGTATGGGAGAATGATAAACCCCACTACAATACACTTATCAATAAGTGAAGCTATGCTGTGGTAAGCTGGGTAACAACTAGTGATTAATTATTTAAAGCTACAGTACTAACATTGATGAATGGTCAGTGCAACTCATGGTGCTGAAGAAGAACAATGTTGCTAAATTAGGTAATTATGTTGAATCTTGAATAGTTTGTCAATCAAATGACCAATTTGTAAATGGTAGACTATTAACTGAAAGTTATATATACAATTTGGTTCATTTAAGACCTGCGTTAGTTGCAAATACAACTTCATGTAATGAACTTTTATCAGTGATGAGTCTTCTTTTCTGAGTGAGTGTGTGTTACCTTGCCATGAGCAAATATTCTTAAATAGTAAATACACATGCAGCATGTTTTTTGGCAATTTTGTTTAAAAATTGGTCGTTTGAGATGCTTTGCAACGTTAAGTGTTTGCTTTATCAACTTAATTGGTATCAGAATGAAATTTTATGTCAAAGTTCATTTTTTGTTACATAAGACGACAATTTAAAACATTTTAAACACATGTAACTTTTGAGAAAAATTTAAAATATTACACAACTTGTATATTGACACCTTAAATTGCTAAACTTCTTTTCCATAAGATAAGGATAGGATTACACAAAGTAAAATGAACTGACAGCCAGCTAACCAGCTTATGCAATATACATAATTGGGATGAAATGCTAAACTAGGTGGAATAGTATAATGTCTTTGAACTCATCCAAAAATAGAATAAATTATGGAGAGGATATCATATTTGTAAAGAAACTTTTGGTTTAGTTCATATGAACTGAAAATTGAAATTTAACTGGTGTGTGATATATATATATATATATATAAAATCAACTTAAAATTTAAGCATTGGTAACAATTCTTTCAATTCAGAATTACAATAATTATTAGATAATAGTTATGATTTAAATAACCAAATTTGTGAGATCCATTTCGTGATTTTTAATTATAGATTACATTTGGCATTGATAAGCATGTTGAATTTTTACCATGTATATCAGATCATCAAATTTCATTTTTTAAATAAAATTGTGTAATTCATCTCAGACACAGGAAAAATTTAAATTGTTTTATTTCCGATAAAATATTAAAAGCTGATTATAACCTGAAATTTGACTTATAATTCCAAAAATATGCAATTTTGGATGAAAATGCGAGTAGTGAATGTAGGATTTTTCACTGGTATGAGATAGTCCTTGATGACAACACCATTCTGTGCATTGCAATGCTCTGTATATTTATTTATTCTACCAATAAAACATTTCAAAATTGAGATCTGTTTTTTTCTCATGAATAGTGAACAAATAAATCTATGCAAAATTTAAAAATTTAACGTGTGCCACAGCAATGTTATGGTAAATACCATGTACAAAAGCTGCAAACGCATCAGAATCTTCATTTTGCAAATTGCCTTATTTTGATTTTTCAACAGCAATTTTCCTAATTGGAAAACTGGATCTAATTGTACAGACAACAGTTTTTATAATAACATGTGTCTTTCCTCTTACTATCTATTAATATAATGCAGCTTTGAAGAATAGTTTTTAACGTCTACTCAAAGTTAAAAACCATTGAACATATAATAAGACAAAACAACAACAAAATCTTTGACTAGAACAACACTGGCATACAATAACTATCACCTGTAAAACACAAATACATAAATTTACACAAAAATTATAAACGACTGATTGGTTGTGAAGAGAATTTGACAAAAATAGGTCGAACAATTATACACAACCACGATAAATTGCCATGAAAGAATTTATGGAATTTCGATTCTTTCAATGACCACCATACTGCTTTACTAACCTCCATCATCTAGTAGTTTGCTTCCAAGTGCTATATACAGTAATGTAAAAATATAAATCAATGTCACTAAAAAGTTTGCTCAACCATCCCAAGAACACATATACCAACAACAAGTTTACTTATACCCAGTGTAGTGGAGGGTCGCCCACTGACTCGACTTGAGCTTGGGTCAAAGTCGAGAAGTGTTTTGAAACATTTGAATGAAATGACTCAGATTCGTACTCAAAAAACCACCAGTAAGACCCAACTCAGTAACTATCTCGACAATTTATTGGAATACAATATTGAAAATTCCAATGAGTATATTATGAAGTAAATAGGTTGAAAGTTGATATCCAAGTCATATAGATATACAAGATCATGATTATACACTCACTGGCTTCAAAGCATTTTTCACAAGAGCACTGATTGTGTTATTTTGCATTTTGCTGATTTTAACATACCGTATTTAACGGACCAGAAGTTGCACTTTAAATACTTTTTTTTCTCAAAAATCGGGCGTGCGCCTAATGTATGAAATTGGTAGTTTTCCTTATGGTCCGTAAAATATGGTACATATAATATTGTAATATTTACCTTTTATTCCTTCTGGGCCAAGTTGTCCAGCCAGCAATCCCCGTAATTTTTTGATTTCTTCTTGATATTCTCGGAGAAGAGCATCTTTAGGATCTTCATTTATTCTTGGCTTGTTTTTGATATTTTTGGCACGATTTGCATAACTGGAGATATAAAATCATAAAGAAGACCTTAGTAAGCAGTATTATTATCATCAAGATTATTGAAAAGGAAGCAATGAAACACTGACAAAAATTTGAAGCAAAGAAAAATTCTAAGAAAAAAAGTAAATCACATAATATGTATTGGGAATTCTAAGACATTCCGGGTCAGCCTTCGAATTTGTAAAGTTTTATAAAAATACAGTATTAGTATAAAGAGGACAACTTTGCGTTTGGACCTGTTGGTAATTGTTTGAGTTCTGATGAAATAAAGATCTACATTCAATGAGTAAGTATGGTTACCATCTTACCGCAATGTACTTAAAGTTTCTTCATAATTATTGTCAGCTGGAGAGAGACAAGCGACCATCAAAGTTTTCGTATTTCCTCCGAGTGAATCTTGTAACAATCTAGTCAGCTTTGAATCACGATATGGAATGTGTTTTGATTTTCCATCGACCAAAGCAGATATCACATTTCCTAAGACAAGTATATATTGTTAATTACGTACCAAAAATTAATTTTAAAACACATATTTTAATAGCAAATTATATGAAAAATAGTTATCAAAATAGCCAGAAATATTTGTATTTATTTTGTCCTAAATTTTTAGTTTTGCGTTTAATTTAAAAAAATGTTCTGATCAGAACTGTTCTGCTCAACAATATTTTTTATTTTATAGACACCAATTATCTAAAAAAATCACTAATAATGTACTGTTCAACAATTTTAGGTTAAAAAAGTTGAGCCTGACTAAAAATAAACACCCACCATTATTAATTGTCACAAAATTTGAATAATTAGATGGAGTAGTAGAGGTAGCTTAATGTAACATCGTCAACACTAATGTGCACTGTGTGATGTCAACCAATCTACTATAGTTTTATAATTTAGGCTGAGTACAGGATTAATTTCGTTGACAAGCCTGATAGTGAAACAAAAGCTTTCCCAATAAAAATTGACATTTTACAAGCACAGGCTATAAACAAATATATGTCATCATGGCCAATATATAGGTTGTATTTGAATAAACTAATATGAATGGTTCGACATAATTCACATGATAAATTGGGCAATAAATACTGAAAAAATGAAATATAAATCTCTGGGATGGATGATCAAACATAAATTTTATTACCAAGGGCCGAAAGTGATAAATTGATTTTGGTTGCTTCACGCAGTCTTTCACCAGTTGCTCCTGTTTTCGATTGTCTTTCACTTCCAGCAAGATCAACTAAGTTTAATTTTCCAGCACGAATGTGATCACCACCATCGATTCCTGTGGTTGATATGGAAATAACAAACAAATTTACGACATTTTCATCGTAATAGATAAGTCATTTAAATATTTATATAATAAACAGCGGAATTTCCAAATAAAAAATATTTTGTGGTATCAAACTTGACAAATTAGTTGAATTTTCGAGGGGTTCAACCCAAAAGCGCAAAACTTGAAAAAGCTGATCTGAGAAAATGGCAAAAGCATCAATTATTTATTATTAAACTCCTAGAACTTTTTCTCAAAATAATTCGGTTAATATCTTCAAACTATGATTAGAAATCATAATGAAAAGCACTAATTTATTGTGGTATTTTCAATTTCAACAGTAATTTTTTCGGAATACCTCACTTTATGTCATGAAACCTACATTTTATACTTCGGCCTAGACAACCAATAAAAAGGTGATGCAAGGCAACAAAACAGTGAAGACAATTCATCTACATTTGCACATATACGCTATAATTATCAAAAGATGGTACTCTGAAACTTTTTCAAATAAATTTCGTTAAATTCTACATGAATACAGACAAGAGTTATATTAAAAATGTTAAAACTTCATCACACCATGGTCCATGGGGTACCTAACTGCCACGATAACAAAAAAAAAAAAAATTTAATCAATATTCAAAAAATGCCCCTTCTCAACTAAATAATATTTTCTGAACTTGAAAGAAATTGATCAGTCATATAGTAAATATTCAATTACGCAATCGAAAAATTAATTAATAATAGGCCTACTTGAAATCAAGATAAATTGAACAAGTCCAAATATAAAATAATTACCGGTAGCCTACCCATTAAAAGTATATAAAACTATGAAATCAAACCTGTATCACACGCTTCCAAATAAATTGAGAAAATAGAATGAGATCTTGATGAGTCTGCATTCATTAATGTTGCACCTACAGATCTATTCCTCCAACCTGATGCCATTATGGTTTCACATTCTGATACATTGCTTACTGGATGCATTGATAATTCTTTTACATATACTCCTCGATCAGGATGCTCTTTTAACTGAACATTAAACATATTCAAATGATTTCAAAAACAACTATTTAGCCCCCAAAACCTTTATGATTCAATCAACCGATATAACTCAAATCCGGGCTCTTCAAACTGTGGGTGAGTCCATGGGGTTGCTGTAAAATATTTTTTAAATTTTCAACTTATGCCAAAACAAAATATCAATTGAATTTGAAACATTCGGAAACAGTACTGAGGCACATCATTATCGAAATGGAGTCAAGATTCAATAATTTGCTAGAATATATAATCACATTGAACTCATTAAAGATAATATAGTTCATATGTTTTTTCAATATTTTCTGTACCATTAAATTTAACTTTATTTTTATTTCAGTTCCGGAGGGACGAATAGACCGTGACCGTGCCAAGTGGGTCGTGAAGAAAATAGTTTGAATAACATTTGCTTAGAGGTTGTTAGCATGTTGGTGTCACAGGTTTAGGACCTCCAGGCCAAACCTAGACTAACTACCTTACTACTTCACTAGAGGTTTAAAAAATTAGGTAGATGACATGTCGAATAATGGAATTCCAGTTCTTCTTCAAGATATACTCGGTCCTCACCTATAAACTTATTTAGAGTCTTGTTCTCAACAATATTGGCCATAGAAATTCCAGTCTACTTAATGTTATCATAGTAAAAATATAATGCTATTAGGTATTATTCTAAATGCTTTGATCTGAATTTGAAGTCAAAGGGATTTTTCAGGTAGGAAAGTACATCATCCATAATGGTGGCGATAATCATAACTATGAAATATGCAAATGAGGGAAGCTGGAGTGCATCGCTAGTCATATTCTAATATTGGTCAAAAACAATACATTCTTACCTCAAGTTTTTGTTTGATATTATTACTTAATAAATCTCTGATATCTTCATTATATATTTCAAGATAAGATGCATGAACAAGATATTTGGTATTTTCAGCCACCTGGAAAATAAATATTCAATATTTAATGAGATATTTGAACAGGTGTTTGTTCAGAAAATTCTATCAATAATTTTAGGAATATTGCTCTTGAACAATCTTGTTTAAAAAATGCTAAATTCAATATCATGGTTGAACAATCTGATTTTGACGTTTTTATCAAGGATTTCCAAAACGAAAAAAATTTTCGAATCGATTCGTATTTAATCATATTTGATAACAATTTAAATTTTCGATTTTTGAAATAATTTAGAATAGCTTCATTTGAAAATTTATCATTGGGCAATTGAAATTTCACAATATGAACAAATTTAGAAAAACTGAAAACCAATACAATCAATCTAGATTCTCCTGCATTTACAAATCCAACTCATAAAATATACATTGGCTTCTTTTGTTATTTGTTGAACATGACGCAATTTGGAATACATTATAACACAGGCTTTAGCCTAAAAGGGCAAAATTTGAAAAAAGCTGTTTTGAGAAAATGAGAAAATCGAATATTTTTTTATCCTTGACTCCTGCAGCTTTATATTGAACACTTTGGTACATATTGCTTCAAATTATGATTAAATATCATCTTAAGAACACCTATTTCTTTGTCTTGAAATGCCCTTGAAACCGTTTATTTAGGGTATACCAAATTCTAAAATATTATTTCTTAATATAATCGAAATAGTAGATTATTCGATGATGAAATCCTGCTTTTTATCAGAATAATCAACCATACTTCTATGCTTTCAAAGATATGCTGAAATGCCCGTGGAATAATTCCTCTTTGAGTAGGTGGATCATCAACACCCTGCATACTGTATGATTTTCCACATCCAGTTTGACCATAGGCAAACACTGTTCCATTGTATCCTTCTACAACACCCTGGAATGATGAAGAGTTATATAATATAGTAATACATTATGGACCAATACTGATATGACAGTAGCACAATCAAGTTGATAAAAGTTGATATTCGAAAAAAATAACCAACATCAGACATCTTGCTGAGTCACAAAAATATTTACAGACGGAGGGAAATAGAGAATGCTGCTATCGCTTAGCCTTAAAGTAATAACTGCACCGAACAATGCGGCAAAGGATTTAATGCAGCAACGAAAGCTAAAAAATTTTTAAATATTTTTATCCATATGAGCGCTTTTTTCAACATAAACTGCCGGATTATGATTTAATGCTTGATATTTGAAAAAAATAACCAACTTCAGACATCTAGCTGAGTCACAAAAATATTTACAGACAGAGGGAAATAGAGAATGCTTCTCTCGCTTGGCCCCAAAGTAATAAATGCACCAGGCAATGCGGCAAAGGATTTAATGCAGCAACAAGAGCTAAAAAAATTTAAGTATTTTTATCTATGTGAGCGCTTTTTTAAACGTAAACTGTCTGATTATGATTTAATGCTTGATGAGGAAAAATCTGAGTGTTGAAGGGCCACACTAAATGGCTTGGCAAGCTGGATTGTGGCCCGCACGTTGCCTGTTTAATACCCCTGTTTCAGACAGTATCCAGACAGGTGGATCAGTTTGCAGTTGGTCCTCCATGTTAGAAGCACTGATCAAAAATACAAATACACTTGTTTAGAGTTGTTGGCAATGACTGATTGCACTTCCCTTTCAAATTTTTTTTTGTTATTTCATTCAATTAATTTAATCTCTATATACATTATTATATTCCTGGAACAAAAATATTATACAAGAATAAATATAGGATAAATTACTAACCTCAACCAGAGGGTATGCAATGTCATTGTAAATTTGCTCTGTGGTTGATTCCGTAAAATATGCTCCATCAAATGTAAATTGTTTTGGTGGTTGATCTGAGCTACTACCAGGTTTTCTAATATTACATTGTCCTCTCTCCTCTGACAATTCCACAATACACTAAAAAAATATCATAAAACAACTGAAACTATGATCTACAAGAATTTATGGAAAGTATGAAAACACATAAAAGTAATTATCCTAATTGAAGAAAAAGGGATTTTTTACTCTAACAACAACAATAATAAAAATAACAACAATTTAGCAAAATTGAGTATAAATCTACTTTGTGTCCGATAATTCAATGAAATGGACATCTAGACATGTGTATATCATGACTATGATATCTTAAATAAGATTAATGGTTTCATAGTAACAGGCAAAATAGTCGACCATACATGCTATTTCTGGTGTAGTGTGTTTTACATATATTTGTTTAAAAATAATATATATGCTATGAATGTCACGCTATAATATATTGCTATAAATGTTAACCAGTCTGTGTTTAGTCCTAACATAACTATCACTAAACTAACACTAACTAAACAAACATCACCTTGCATTTCAGAGAAGCTTCTCTTCCATTGAGAGGGCGACACCGAACAATAACTTTTACAGATTCCGCCATCTTCCCACTGTATAATTCAGCGGCTTTCTAAATAAAGAATATATGGAAATTAAAAAAAGTATAATCTTGCTAATAAAACATTATCCGGCATGAAAAAATTTAGGAGATATTTTAATTAGTGACTTGAAATTTCCCGCCAAGCGGCATAAATTCTATATACGATGAATAATAATATAAATTGACATGTAATTCTAGCTTTTCAACGAGATTTATACAACAATTGGGTTTCTGCAAAACAATCTGCTTAACCTTCTCTTCCTTATGTGCTTATGTGCTAGTAGATCCATATGTGTATAATGCAAAGATGCGGTAGATATTAATTCAATCCGATTCAAGGATTTCGCTTTTCAGTAGTCTTATTTTTAAAAATCGATATTATGGACATGATTTATAGTATAATAAAAAATATCACAGCATTTCAAAATATTTACCTTGCTTGGATTTATGTTTAGACTCATGTTGCCAAGTGTGAGGAAAATCAGAAAACTATATTTTCAATACTAAAGGTGACTGATTATGGTAACAAACTTTGTTTAATCCTTCATTCTTGCATTAAATGTACCAACGAATGTAACACAAATATTTTTTCTAGAAAAAATCTCTAGCTTTCTGAAATGATTACAAAAAATCTGCCACAGTTGATTTTTATTTTGCTTACGGTTATGCTCTCTCATCTTTATCAATTAAAAATTTCTCGTATGTCAACTTTCTATCATTCTAATTTTTACAGTGAACCTTTTTCAAATAAAATTAAAGTCTTAAATTCTAACTCAAATGTCTCTATACAGTAATAAATCCAAAAGTCCAATTATTATTGATCCATCACATTTCTATATGACGTTGGCTCTCGAAATTTATGATAATTAAAAATTAAAAGCCCTTATGTAAAGTGCACTTGTCATAGCAAACAATAGCTGTTTCATAAGTATTATAATCAGGGCTGGGCATTTACACAAAGTATAGTTACATAGACATATAATATAGAGAGAAAGGCAACTTATACATTATATAATAGACTGACAGCTTAGATTAAATAATTAAATAGCCAAGATTAGGTAAATCAATTGTCTCTGTTAAAAGAATACTTAGGTAAAGCAGTGGTTTACACAAGAAATGAAGATTGAAGTAATGGTATATATAAATATATCAACTACAATCAAAATCTTTCAGAAATCCTAGAGAACCATCTTAGACATGTATTAACAACAATTGGGCGCTCCAGTAGTAAGTGTACTAATATAGAGGTAACTAATTTTGTTTGCCTACTTTACAACAAGTTGTGTAAAAAGATTTGAAATCAATTGGTAGGGGGTTTATCCACTTGGCTGACACAGACAGTTCTGAACTCTTAATAGAACTAAAATAATGAATATCGGAATAAAAATATGGCCTACTCTAACCTGATAAACATTCAACGCGAGTACCAACAATTGAGGTATGAATTGGGATGTTCATAAGTAAACAGTTCTGTTTATTTTGTTTGATTGTTGTTTTTGGAAATGTCTGGGCAAATTACACAACATTGGTTCTCTGGCAAAATCGATTGAAGATTAGATTATTAGGCTAAAATTTTGGATATTTGACTGGAAATTAAAAAAAAATTAGTCTATCTCATTTGAAACTTGCACTCGAAAATGAAAATGAAAGATTATTGTTTTTAGGTATCTTTGTTATTAGGTAGGTCATCGCTACTGCACCAAACTTTAATCTAGAATAATTAGATGTTATAATGGTGAAAAATTATAGTATCAGCTGTAGGTAATAGTAATGGGCAACCTTACTTTTGTATGGCACAATAAGCCTACATGGAAATCCTTCCAAAATATGAAAATAAAAGTATTTCCACAATGGAATAAGGAAGAAAGATGACTCAATATTATTAAAACCAGGACTTTCCATTGGTTACCAAATCTGGTATGTGAATGTTTAAAGTATCTGTAACTGACCAATGGCAAAATTTAGATAACCATTACAAATGGAGGGAAAGCAAAACAATGTTCCCTAACTATGGCGCTTGCTTCATAAGTCGCAATGTTCTGATAAGAGTGTAGAAGACACTGCAATGTGCTATGCCGTCAGGATTGAAGCTCAAAAGTTTATTTAGTTAGGACGATACCTAAGGGCATACCATGTAACCTACATTATGACCTAATTCGTACCACTTTATAACAAACTATTTTTCAGTCGCATGCTGAAGACCTCATTTTAAATCCGATAATTACTATTTCAGATATGAAGTAATAAAAATTAGGTAGACAATGCTAAACAGGAAACATCCAGTATGCTCCATTAAAAATCTAACACATTTCACATAATAATGACTGCCTGGCTTGTTTGAAGTAAATAAGTGTGAGAACAACCCAGTTTTACATAATAATCAAAATTTGTGAAGAATTAACCAGCTCTATTGTTATACCCTCAGTCATTCAGTCTTTTCACTACTTGCTTGATAAAATATATAACAGAATGATGAAATCACTTCGGGGATTTCGAAAAATAGTGTGTGATGGACAAAAACAAAACTTTCATCTCATATCTCTTCTCAGAATTTTGCATCTTTAACTCATTTATCTAAAATATCTGAATTTCAGTTAAAGATTCAGGGGTTTATGATAAATTAACGATTAGAATAGGATTAAAATGATAATCTTGCTTCATCCATTTACGCAGTGAAGCAATTAGAATTGTATTATACTATACTATAAGCCGAGTGCTTTATTCAACTATAGTCAACTTTATTAGGACTTGATTTACGACTTATGACTTGACCTCCACAAATAGCCGCAAAGGGAAGTTATATATGGAAAATAAAACCTGATCAATCATTCCTACTGGATGCAAAATCGAAATAGAATACAGAATCGGAACGGTATAGCCGTAACCAGACCTCTATTTCATAATAATTTTGATGAACATCCTGACATCTCTCTGTCACAGATTGACTGATGCATGTTGACAATATCAAGTCAATATTTTACAATTGAACTACTAAAGTAGAAGTCTAAAATTATGACGACCTGAAGAAAGAAGCGAAGATAAAAAATTCGGGTCTCATGTACTTTCGTACCTGACGTACGGTACTTCTAGTAGGCGTAGCATAACAATTTTTTCACGAGTCAATCCTAACCCCCACCTGACCACACCATCTGAAAATTACGTCGCTACGGCGTCATAGTGACGTAATAGAGTTCTTCAAACTATGTGAACTGTCATCCACTGCATCCAAGAGGCGCAGACGAGAACCTGAAATCGAACAGCCATTTCTCTCGTTTTCTAGTCGCAACGATCCCGATAGGAGAGAGATCGCTGACGTTAGTCAGTTCTTTATCGTCGGCGCCGATGCCATTTCGGGCGATCGTACGAGTATTTGGCAAGCTCTATGACGTGACTGTGACGTCGTAGTGACGTAATTTTTGGATGGCGTAGTCAGATGAGGGTTAGGGTTGGCATGTCAAAAGATTGTTACGGTATTCTACGGCTCGTAGAAGTGGGTTAGGTACGAAACTACACGAGAACCAAAAATTCAAGGTTCACAGAAGGGGTCTAGTATAGTTTAGTACCACAAGTACTTCCAGTGGGCGTAGCATAACAATTTTTGCATATGTTATTCCTAACCCTCACCTGACTATGCCATCCAAAAATTATGTCACTACTACACCACCATCACGTCATAGGGATTGCCAAAGTATAATTACGATCGCCCGAAATGGCACCAGCGTCGCCGACAAGAACTTGCTAAAGCCGGCAATCTCTCTCCTATCGTGATCGTTGCGACGAGAAAACAAGAGAAATAGCTTGCTCAATTTCGGGTTATCGTCTGCGCGTTTTGGACGGCCATCTGCATATTTCGGGGGGCCTTATTACGCCACTGTGACGTCGGAATGACGTAATTTTTTGGTGACCTAGTCAGTTGGGGGTTAGGATTGACATATGCAAAAATTGTTGAGCCGGGCAAACTAGAAGTGGATGTGGTACTAAACTATACCAGATCCCACAGAAGTTAGAAAAGTCTGAAAGTTGAACCAGGTTACTTACCTTCACAGAATCTCGCCTTACTCCGTCATCTTGTTGTATATGAACTCTTCAACATTTCTATAAAGTGCTAATTTAACAACTTCGTGAAAATAATAGAATAATACCTAATAACAAACCCTGAGAATGTGATAACAAAGCTAAAAGAATCTTACAGTCCAGAGTTGGCGTGGAAATTTTGTTTACGATAAATCAAGCGGTTTAAACGAATGAAAGGGTCAAAGGTTATAATTGGATATTTACAGACATCTTGAGCTGGTATGTTAGTCGTTGGTTACCAATCAATCAATCATTTCTCTGACATAAACAATACAAAGAGTAAACAGACAAACAAAATGCAAAGATACCTGGGAGACGGGCATAACTTAAAAAAATAGTTTTTAGCATATTCGAGAGTCATTTCATACTTGAAGCAAATCAAATTTAACAAATCCTGCTAAGAGGCGAGGAGTGAGACTCGATATTTTTCCCTTGTCAATTTTGTTTGCGTGCATGAGGAAGCGTGACTTTGCTCATGACTTTTGATAGTCTTTTCGCGACTCCTCAGATGACTGTTAATGGTCGTATCGTTACCACCCTGTCATCTACCGAAACCTAATTTTTCCCATTTTGTTATCATATATATATTGTATGTGTTTTCTGGTTTGACGAAACAATAAAAAAATTTCTATCTCCCTCGTCTATTGCAGTTCAAATATTGTACTTTTTCTTTAAATTTGATTTTCAAATGAAACGTTGCATGATGAAGTTTTGGAAAGCGTGAACGAAAGAAATTACACTGGCAACATAGGCATTTTTCACTTAACAATTTTTCAATGTTGATTACAAACATTGAATTATTTTTGCAGTTTCAAATTTCATTTGTTTTTTTTAAATTCAGATACTCTTACAAATCTAATAACTCAGCGGTCATTTTGTGATAAAAACGGTCAAAAACTAGATAAGTAACACTGAGCTACTAAATTTTATAATTAGTGTTACTGTTCACGGTAGCTATTCTGACATTTTCAATCAATGTGGAGATTTTTAGAACGTAAACCATTAGCAACGACATAAATTATGAAACAAATTAACTCTTCTAATAAACCCACACTTCCTGGCATTTTCAAGTAGCTGATGTTCTATCATAATACTATACCTCCGAAGGATCCTGGAAAAAATTATTCTCATTTCTGCAGTAGTCAGTGGACAGCCACTCAAATACTAACATCTGTTGAATATACATGTTTCTGTGTCGATACAGCATATCCAATTTATTACATAAATCATATTGGAAACATTTGGCATAAACTCAACAAAATAATGTCCATCAATTGGTGGATGGCTGTCATATACAAAATATTTGGTTACACAATGATATGTGGCAGTTTAATAAAGGGAACACTACATGGATATACATACATATATAAATATAATAGGAATAATAAAAAATACACAAGGTATGCAAAATAAAGAATTGTCAAATTATTCAACCAGTGAAATTGTTTTAGGCAGATCATTTAAGTGATAATTATTGCAGCAATGCCCGAATACAGCTGACACAATTCATTATATTATAAATTGAAAAAAAAACTCTTGATTAATTCTCATACAACAATAACTCATAATCTTCATTTTGGGAATGGAAAATAATGTAAAGTACTCGATTATTAAGAATTATATTAAACTTGATAACAAACACAATTTGCAATAATTCTATTATGAAGCCAAGTGCAAAAAAAATATGTAAGTACGCTGCGTACAACCAAAACACAACAGGTGCAACATGATATGTTGTGCAAAAGACATGTTGAAGAAACAAGGAAGCTCATCAATAATGCAACATAACATAGAAGTATGAAATACCAAAAACCTATGGCACAGATGATCAAGTAAAAAAAGAGAAAAAGTATTACAGCAAAACAGAAATTCACAAAAACTGAAAACGGTGTATTGCTACACACCACTGAAGTACTGCATAATAATTGAAGATTGTTCCCATGGAAAATTATTTTTTCATTGTAGTACAAAAATAAAAACGGCTAGTAAGTGTAATTGCATTCTGTATATATAGTGTCAAAAAATTTACAATAAATCCACATATGTGGTACATTGCATGCCAGTGGTTTTGCAAATCCAATCTGCAATTTTGAAGCTTTCGATTGCAGCTTGCGAACTTGGTTTGAGCATTTTTACACAAAAATTATATTTAACATAGATTTCAAATAATAAAGAATTTGATAAATAACACTGAATTATTTAACCAGTGGCAAGTGTTTAGGTTCTGTCGTCAGGCTCTATCATCTTAAAAAATAAGAGTAAATAATTTCAAGTACCGTAAACTCAATAATTACTAGTATAAGAGATGGACGATTTCTTCATTAATGGAAAATCAAAATACCTAGACTGGTACAGCACAACCTAAAAATTGAAGAATTTCATAAGATATACATTCTATGCAAATTTGTTGACATTGGGTATTGACCCCATCAGATTTGTTCTGAACAAAACTTGTTTCATTGAAGTACAATGAAATCCATAATATAACAAGAATTTAAGAAGCAAAAAAATCACATATTCTCTTTCATTCATCAGTTTAGTGCAGTCAAAGCTCTTTGGTGGGTATATTAACTAGAAGTCATGACAAGCCAATGAAAGTCAAAATAACAGCTCTCCAACATTCACCTTCAACCCATCGTTGTATATGGTAACAACACTTGGTTGTAATTGCATTTCAATCGCTTACAATATATTACAGCAACTGTACTCTGGTGGTTTTTCAATTTCCCCATTGGCATTTGATTTTCCTGAATCAAGGTCTTTAACTATTCCTTCATCTTCACTGAAATCATGTTCAGATTCGGATGATGATATTCGACTCCTTTCTTGAATGGAAGTGATTATTTCATCCTTGTACCTTGCTAGTATTAAACTTGTTATTGTGGCAAACATTTCAGATACATTTTCACTTGTATAAGCACTCACTTCGGTGAAGGGTATTTTTAATTCATCGGCAAGCTGGAAACAAAAATATACAAATCATTTTTAGCTTTACATGATAATTAGTACTACATAAAATGTTCAGGATGTGAAATTGGTGCAAATTCACGTGTAGAGTATGCATTAAATGTGTTTCCTGAATGTCAATCACTTGGAGTAAGAATTCACAACCTTCAAATTTCTGCACGTAACAGGTAAAGCATTCACCTTTGCTACATGAAAAAAAATAGCCTAAATGAATGTCAGCTTCATTTAGGTTGGTTGCATTGCCATCATTGAGGAAATATACCGAAATTTGAAATATAAGAAAAAATAATACAGAATCTTAGTGTCTGCAATGGTAGAAAAAAGATGACAAGACAATAAAGCATACTTATAGACTTTAAAAACATATTCATTGAAATGATGATTTAATATGATAAAAGTAAAAATGAATTTTTTTTTATTTGAGCTAGATATACAGGACATGCATTTTTTGTTTGATGGAGGACAGGACCTCTCCATTGTAATTATTTATTAAATTTATGATATAACATTGTAAAAATTATCATGTCCAAATGCATAACTTACATATTGGAAGTATGAAAAATATTAAAATCAAGCAATAAACGGCATATTTCAGTGATGTATTTTTAAGGCAGCGATCTTGCCTGTGGTTCAAGTGTTCTATGCAAATTTAAAGACTTTGCACAAATTTGCACAAACCTACTGTGTAAAGTCAATTGAACCAAAATTGTAATTTTTTTTATAAACGAATTCTGAATTATTTTTTGAAATCAAGAAATTACTGCATAACATTTAATGAATCCAAATATTTGGTTCACTTTGGGTATTCTCAGATTGATATTATTTACTATATAAACACTTAGATATTTGTCATGTAATGATACGAAGAAAATTATTATTTTCGATTTTCTAACGTAAATATAAGGTTTACCAATTTCGATAAATCTCCAATCGTGAGGAGCCATTTTAGGGTCAACACAAGCAAATTTTGATGAAAAAAAATCTGACAAAATATGACAAGCATTCCGGGTGAAAAAATGACAGACACTTACTGGTAAAATACTATTTTAGAAATTGCTTCCGTATTTTTTAAACTGTTTGTTTATATTATGTTTGATTTTCTAACGTAAATAGAATGTTTACCAATTTGCATAAATCTCCAATCGTGAGGAGCCGTTTTAAGGTCAACACCAGCAAATTTTAATGAAAAAATACCAGACAAAATACGACAAGCATTCTGAGGGGAAAAATCACAGACACATACTGTTAATAAATAATTTATCGAAACGCAAATTCTGTTCCTGTTTTCCTGTCGGAATTGATTAGTCAACCTAATACATAACATCACTAACTGACAAAATCAATAGGAAACACAATTGACAGTATGGGATGTGATGATTCACATTTTTTGACATGCGAAGTGTGAAATATGACAGAAGTAGACAAATGAAAGTTTTGGGGTTACAAATCATAAATTAACAAAAATTAAACTGGTAAAATACTATTTTTTAAACTGATTCTATACTTTTAAAACTGTCTGTTTGCGGTAGTACAAGCAAATCAATTTTTAAATTATTTGTTTAGGTACTCAGAATATCAGAAACAAACCAAACACAGGGACTATTGGCATTCCATTTTTATAAATTACACTTACATAGTAATTATTTTCTTAATGCATAACCATAACCTTTTATAAGCTATCAATGATTGTATTGATTTATTTTAATGATGAAGAATCCCACTAATTACAGACAAGATAATACAAATTATACTGACCTGCTGTCCAGCTTCAATAGAAACTTGCCGACTATCTTCTCGATCACTTTTATTTGCTGCTAATATGATATTCACATCTTTGTCTCCAAACTGAAAAGCATATACATAATCAATGGAAATACCTAGGTTCTAATATGCACAAAGTTACATGTAAAAAGAAAATTCAATTTCGATATTATTTCATTGTATAGCCCGAAATCTCAAATAACAGTAGCTGTTGACAAATTGCACTTTTTAGTTTACCAAATTTGCTCGTTTTGTAGCCCGGGCCCATATTTTTTCAACCAACTCACTAACCGGGCCCTTATTCAAACCCGCTCTTATTCAAGCACGGACGCTTGTTATTTTCGTTACAATAATTAATATACTGTTATTTCCAGTTCTCAAGTATGATTTAAACGAGATTAACGAAAATTTTGACTTTTCCTACGCACCGCAGGTACAAATCAGCAAAAGAAGACAAGTTTTGTGATGCCCTATCAATATTGAAACGACGCACTTGGGCGTCACGATGCCCAGTTTGAGAACCATGGTGTTACGTAATCAATGCTATCTGTTATGTACTTGGACGCCTAAGGCGTGAGTGTTATCTACCGGCACTTCAAATTCAACAGCGTTGTGAGAAAAACGCTTATTATTTCCTATTGTTCTCTACCACTGAAAAATCAGCTTTTACATCGGGCGGGTATCCAAGCACCGGCCCTTCCTAATTTTATGTTTTGTTTACACGGGCGGCTATTCAAACGGGCCCTTAATCAAGATTGGGCGGTAAAACGAGCATATACGATAGTTTAAAATATATTTTGCATTCGCTCAACTGACAACACTAGAGCCGATAGACTTCGATCTATTCCACATTACATAAAGTTTTAGATATGATAAATGGCAATTGTTGTCAGTAAATCATATTCATACTTCTTTGATGTCTTCTGCCCAATCCCTGATGCTGAGAAATGAAGACTCATCGGTGGTATCATATGTCAGTATGATTCCCTGAAAAATATAGGAAGAAAAGTTCGTTGAAGAAGAGCAGCTTAGTGAAAAGAAGAAATATATGTATGATTATCAAACCTGTGCTTTTCGAAAATATTGTCTTGTGATGCTACGATATCGCTCTTGTCCAGCAGTGTCCCTGCAAAATATCATAAGTATAATATAGTTGCTTTATGGCCATGCAGCAAAAAAATTTATAAAAGAAAATAATTACAAAAAAAAGGTACATATATTTCGATGAATTTTGATAAAATCGAATATTGACGAGACTATTGATCATAAAACAGAATATCTTTATATAAACAAAATATAATTTACAGAAGAATCTAATATGAAAATGTTTAACGACAAATGTAACTGCATACATTGATTTGATAAAACTTGCTGGAATAATGGAATCATGAAAAAAATTGCCCATTAAATAGCATGAAAGATGAAGTAAATTACAGAAATGCTGAAGCAATTAACCATGCAAGTTTCCCAAATAATTGTATTCTTAGTAAAACAAAATATGCTAATGAATAATAAGCTTTTAACTCGGGCATAAATGAAAAAGCATACATAACGCATCGTTATTTCATATTGGAGCAGTGATAATTGCTGACACTAATGAAAAATAGAGGTTGACACATCCCACAATGATGAAAAGGGGCAAAACCACACAAATAAATCATGAAATATGACAGTGAAAAAGATTCAGACCATATTTGTATCCTTGTTCTTATTCCATCCATAACCAAAGTCTTCATTTTGAAGTCTATTCCTGTAAAAATAGAAAGATTCTATACTTAGGTAAGTGCATAATATAGACTTACAGACTTATGATAGACAACATAAAATGTTGTTAGCAATATATATAAAAGTAGAGACAGTAAGTAAAAAATAATAATGTTTGCTATTTTCGAATTGAAACTACTAAAATTCAGTGATCCAGGTTTATTTTGGCATCAGAAATCAAAATATCTGGCTCAACTTAGAGTAAAATATTACTTAATACATACCAATCGTACAGACATGACTATATCTGAATTCATTGTCACAAAATCTTTGCAATAAACAAGTCTTGCCAACTCCTGTGTCACCCAAAACCATAATCCTGAACAACACATCATAATCTTTATCCATTTCCCAATTTTAAATATAGCCTTCAATAACATGAAGTACAATCTAAAAAATTTTAGATAAATTGCATAGTGAACAAGAAAGAAAGCGAGACAAGGAAACAAAAATTTGTCACATATGTAATATTCGAATATTAATAATTTTATAGGGATCGCGAAATAAAACTAAAAGTAATCAGAAACAGATGGAGAATACTAAAAGGCTGAAGGAATAAACGAATGAAGTGAATTAAATATGGAAGTTGCAGTGTCCCAAAAAATGGAAAATTGAGGAACATTAAAATGCCGGTCTTACTACTTACTGAATACAGCGCGAAACACCGCAAAACAGAAGGAAACAACGCAAAACAGTGGGGGAAACAGCGCAAAACAGAGGGAAACAGTGTGAAGCAGAAAAAAATTTTGCAATTAGTTCGGGGCACCTTGTTTTGAGTTGGAGTACCACGGCAGCAAATTAAAAAAAGAAACCAGCGTATGTAGCCAGTAATGCTGTAATGGCAGGTCTCCCCCTGCTGGTGACACATTTTGGGTACCATAATTTAGAACATTTTCCATATGGATATGGTTGGCTTTAGGGTTAGGTAAAAAGGGACCTCCAGAAGTATGTGCACCAAGATGGCGCACAACTTGAAAATAGTATGTGTGTGTGTGTGTGTAGCGAATTCAGGTTGTGCGACATATTGCTGCACATACTTCTGGAGAACCAAAAAGGTAGATGAAATTTCGCATGATGACCTATAATCCGGTACATAACCTTGTGAATATACCGGGAATAGCGCCATAAAACCATGGCGAGATCCGCCGTGGTTCTTTCGTGGCAGGAGGTGGTAATGACTGCGTCTCCTGTTTTGCGCTGTTTCCCTCTGTTTTGCGCTGGTTTCCTTCTGTTTTGCGCTGTTTCGCGCTCTTTGCTGTGTTTCGCGCTGTATTCAGTAAGTAGTGAGACCCTTAAAATGCTGAGAACTAGAAGGAAGAAGTGAAGGAAACTTCTTTTGTAGGGGGATGGGAAGTCACTAAAAAGCTGAACATTAAAAAGAAGAAGTGGATGAAATTTCTTCCAATGAAAGGTTGAGGTGGTTGGAGTTACTAAAATGCTGAACCCTAAAAGTAAGAAGTGGAGGAAAATTATTCTCACAAAGGGTGGGGTGGCTGAAGTCACTGAAAGGGTGAACCCCGAAAAGAACAAATGAATGAAATTTTTCCGGTGAAAGTTAAGGTGGTTGAAGTCACTATAACTATAAGGATGAACCCTGAAAAGAAGAAGTGTATGAAATTACCTCCGACAAAAGGTGAGATGATTGAAGTCATTGAAAAGCTGAACCTTAAGCGGAAGAAGCAGAATAAGTTGAAATTAAAAAAAAATATTTGTAAGTCAACTTAACAAATTGAATCTTCCGGTAAATACAAAGTGGGAGTTACGATTATAAAAACAGCCTTATTCAATTTGCTGCAGCGAAAATTACAGCATTGAAGGAAAAGTTTCAACACCATTTTTGAACATAGAATCCAATGCAGTAACACATAGAATACGTTGAATTTTCCGATAAAAACGAAGTGGGAGTTTGGATAATTGAAAACAACAAAAGCAATTTCGCTGTAGTGGAATGTCTTCCCGCTCAAGCGGCATGAGCTTTTATTATTAAATAATCAAGATCTAGTTTTTCACACACAACTCGAACCTAAGCATTCTAAATTTAGGACATTCTAACAGACAGCTAATATTTATTAAAATTACCGGTACGTACATAAAGTTCAGAAGTTATATCAAATCCAGCAGCGGTACTCAAGTTTTCCACACATTTCGAACTTGAGCCTTCAAAATTAAATAACTTTGGCTACCGGTAGGCTAGCGTAGCGGTACGTTTGCTACTAGCTACAAAGTGGTCCCTAGCAGGCATCTCTCAGCAGACATCTCTCTCGTTTTTGAACGACGATCACCGTTGCCAGAACTCCGATTTCAATTGAGCGATGCGAGAGTTTACGAAAAAGACATCGATGCAAAATCAGCTGATGCTTCGTGGGTTGCCAGATTAATCATGGAAACTGTGAATAATTGCCAAAAAGTTATAGTTCTCCCCTAAAGTGTCTCACAAATATATCCGCTTAGTATAAGAAAGATAGGTATAGGTGCTTATAATAAGAAGTAAACACAACGAGTTTGACAAAGATTGGATGGGTGAAGCGGTATATATGGTATATATTTTTCGGTTTTGGGTAATTAATAATTGGTTCGGTTTTCGATAGTTAAATTTATTTCGCGGATGACACGAAATTTCCCCGCCATTGTTACGTAACAAGTGACGTAAGTTGACAAGTTACGTAACCGTAGCACGCTGCGTTAACGCATTCGAAGTATGAACACCCTCAACGCAATTGCGTTGGATTCCGTTCCCAACGCAACGCAAACCTATGCGTCAGTGTGAACAGGCCCTTAGTCGTTAGGTGGAAGATATATTTATTAGCGTTTCAACCTGACCCAGTCGTCAATTTTTATAAAATTGGTAAAGAGACCTATTTTGCCCCCCCAAAAATGTGTCTTACAATCATGGTCCTCCCTATTTGTACAAAAACAGCAGTAGTACATATAATAAAGTGTTTATACAACGAGTTTCGATAAGTATGTAATGGGGGGAAGATATTTTTATTATCGTTTAAATATGTCACGATAGTCAACTTATGAAAAAAAAATGGCGAAATGACCTATTTTCACGCAAAATTGAGTGTCTTACAATTACGGTCCCAGCATTTGCACAAAACAAGCAATAGTAGGCTACATATAATAAAGTGCTCATACAGCTAGTTCGAAAAAGTTTGTATGGGGGGAAGATATTTTTATTATCGCTTAAACATGGCCCGCTAGTCAATTCATGATAGAAATGGCAAAAAGACCTCTTTTGCCCCAAAAAATGAGTGTATTACAATTACGGTCCCCACATTTACACAAGACCAGTAGTAGTACATATAATAAAATGGTAATACAGCGAATTTTAAAAAGTTTGTAAGAGGGGGAAGATATTTTTATTCTCGTTTAATAATAGCCCGATAGTCAATTATGAGAAAAATGGGAAGAAGACCTATTCTGCCCCAAAAAATAAGTATCCTACAATTAAAGCCCCCCCCCCCCCCCCAATTTACACAAGACCAGCAGTAGTAAATGTAACATAGTTCGCCCCTAAAAAATAAGTGTGTTATAATCAGGGCTCCCCCATTTACACTTGGGGTGGAAAACACACCCACTGCATTGGGTAAATAGTTGGTCTCAGTAGTAAGCCACCATACCACGTCAAGGTGCCAACTACCGTGGTGGTTTTCATCTCTCATAACTGGCGACGATCGAGAGAGAAAACCCTTAACTTTCGCATATATTGCAAAAGGTAAATTAAACTGATCATTTGTGTGTCCATGAAGCTGATGGACCTGAAAAATAATTGGAGTTAGGATTATGGTGAATATATAACGAAAAAATTTAGCATCGATTGCATTTCTCGCAATTCCATTCAATTTTGCAATCTTCCAGTGCCTCAGTTGGCACAGGAGTATTGCAACATTCCGGGTGGTACCATTCCAAACATGAAGTGCAATCTATCATAGTCTGATTTTGCATGTAGGGCAGTCGGCAGTTACAAAAATATCTGAATAACCCTGAACTTCATATTAGTTTTATTGTGGTTTCGATCGATATTAAAATTTGGTGAAAATCGTTTAGAACTTATGCTATCATAAATCGTTTTTCGCTGATTTATCTCATCAAAAACTATATCCCTGGTCTAATTCATTCGCATAAAGCTATGCAAAATCTTATTGCAAATGGTCCGCATGATGCATCTAACGTTTGTTGCTGGACGAGAGGAAATTCAATCTGTAGTTTGTTTGTTCCTAATGTTGGCCGCATGAGAAGCGAAATAGCATATTTGTCAATTTCTGTGTATTTCAAGTACGAACTATCATAGATTTGAATGGTTTTCTGATTGAACGAAAATATGTTTGTCGCAGCTACCCAGGGATTATCAGGGAGCGTGGACCTTTGGGCCAGATAAAGTGTCGTGCTTTGAAGGCCGTCAGCATTTGGGTACTGCGATGACAAAATTAGCGATGCGGTATTTATAATGTCCGATGTGAACCAATTCCTTTGGAAATTAGTATTGGAGCTCAAAATTTCAAAGCCAACGTTGGACATATGTACCAAGTTTTGAAAATCAATTTTGTATGAACTAAATCGCAAATGCCATTGACTGAGAAGACGCCTCACATATCATTTCCGTTTTCAATACATCTTTATCAAGCAATTCTATTGGGCAAGAAGCTTTCAGAAGTCTAGACGGTGGCTGTAAATATATACCTTTCGATTTATCATTACCCATATTTCTACATCTTTTACCCCATTTCTCAATTTCTTGGTCAATTTGGGCTCTGTTTTCAACTTTCCTTTTTTCGAGACGAACAATCAAATTATCCTGAGGCTCCCTAATTAGGGAATTATGAAGTTGATCATACACTACAGCCAGTGCCGAATTAACCATTAAACAACATAAACACGTGCTTAGGGCACCAAGCAAAGAGGGGCACCACAGAAATTTTTATAGCAGAATTTTATATATTTTATCGGTGTTTATTACTTATCGATTTTAATCGGAAAGTATGTTGATAGGTATTTGTCTGTCTGTCTGTCTCTTAGATGCACGCGGTATCTCACGAAAACGAGATTGAATCTGTTCCAGATATTTCATGTGCATTCATCATATCTCGGACCAGAACCTATTTATTTTGGGCGAATTATGTCGCATAATTAGCGAGTTATTAATTAATTAATGATGGGACACGAGGTGTCACTATACAGTAAGAGCGCTGTTTTGGGGGATCCCCTAACTTTTGATCGATAAGTCCTCGGTCTATGACCGATATTCTCGTTTAAAATATTACGAATTCACCATACGACTCAAACTTCAAAATTTTCGCTTATTTTTCGTCTTCAAGTAATATATTATCTTCTTTATCCAAAATAAACACTGAAACTTATTTATTGGACACGAAATGGCCTATGAGTCG